TGTGGTGTGTGTGGTGTGTGTGTGGTGTGTGTGTGGTGTGTGTGTGTGGTGTGTGTGTGGTGTATGTGTGTTTGGTGTGGTGTGTGTGGTGTGTGTGTGGTGTGTGTGTGGTGTGTGTGTGTGGTGTGTGTGTGTAGTGTGTGTGTGGTGTATGTGTGTTTGGTGTGGTGTGTGTGGTGTATGTGTGTTTGGTGTGGTGTGTGTGGTATGTGTGTGGTGTGTGTGTGTAGTGTGTGTGTGGTGTATGTGTGTTTGGTGTGGTGTGTGTGGTATGTGTGTGGTGTGGTGTGTGTGTGTGTGTGTGTGGTAGGGTGGGGATAGGGGTGGTGGTGTCCTTAGCTGTGGTATCACTTTTTGCATTTGCAGTATGTGTTGGCAATCAGCCCAGAAATAGTAAGTGGGAAGTTCCAGAGATCCATTTTCTTGTTCTTTTTGCCTTTTTTTGTTTCTGAGTCAGTCTCATGTAGCCCAGGCTGGCTGCAGATTCACTATGTAGCAGGTGATGACCCTGAGCTCCTGATGCTCCTGGGGATTCTAGGTATATGTGCTACCTCCACCTGCTTTTGGCTTTGCTTGTCTGAACTGAACAGCTTGTTTAGTTGAAGAGTCTTGCTTTCTCACTGGTCTATGTGCACCTTGAGGCAAGAACTGTCTAATTCAGTCCTGACTCCCCAGTGCTAGGCAACACGGCGCCATCCTTTCCTCCCCATCCACCTGCCTCCTGTTCAGGACAGCCCAGCCATTTTCTTTAGTTCCAAGTTCTAAAACTTCAAGCAGACATCACCAAATCCAAGTTCAGGACTCCAGTTCTGAGCACATAATCATATTGGGAGGTATATTGATGGTGTCTGCAACACGAAAAAGTAAAAATCCCAGAGAAAGGTATTGGGGATCAAGCTGAAGATCAGGGAAGCAAAGCCAAGCTACCAGAGAGCTCTTACCTCTACTAGGGCTGGGGCATTCCTATTCTCAGCGTGGATGGAGAACGAATGCCTGATACTGACCTTGTTCCTGTCTTATATACCTCCCTAATGCTGGGATTAAAGGCGTGTGATCCCAGGCGCTGAGATCATCTTTGTGTGAGCTGTTTCTTTTTAGGACTGAATCAATCTTGTGTAGATATGGGTGGTCTTAGACTCACAGAGATCCATCTATCTCTTAATTCTGAGTCCTGGGATTAAAGGTGTGTACCACCACCTTCTAGCTTCTGGATGCTAGGATTAAAGGTGCCTGACCACTATGACTTGTAGCTGACTTTGCTTTCTGAATCCTCAGGCAAGCTTTAATAAATCATAAATAATATATCACTACAGGTGTCTTTTCTATTTATTTTCCTAGACATATACCAGTGCATTGGAAAATGTTGTCCAACTCACTTCAAGGTTGCAGCCTAGTGGCCAGACACCCGTGGCTGTGACCAGCTCAGCCCTTCTTGGAAAGATCCCGATGACAAAGCCATACAAGAAATGACAATAGTTAAGGGATGGGAAGCCCATTCTGATGGGACAGGCCAGAGCAAAGCATTCGATCCCGGAATAGGGGCCAAACAATGGTGGGAATGAAGGCAGCCGGGCAGGATGTAAATAGTGTAACCCTTGACAATGTGAAAACTCAAACTTGTAAAATTTAGGAGGGGAAGGAACTAGGAAGTGGTGGTGAGCTCATTTCCTTTCCCGAAGCCTGGGGTTTCAGGGAGATGCCCTCTATGCTCCTAACCTGCCAAAGCACAAACCAAACCGCTTAGTATTTCTCTTTGGAAAATACAGTAGAAACATAAGAGGCAGCACGACTCTTGGTGGCTGGCTTGGTAACTTCCTTGGATGCAGATTTCTTTTTGTTCTGTTACACTGAATTATTATTTCCTGAAAAGCACACTATTACAGGGTGCCATCGCTGTACCCGCCTGCCATTTTTTTCTAGTTCTCATTGGTGCAGACTTCTCCATGGATGCTGTCTGGGTGTCGGCCCTGATTATTTCTGGGAGTTCTAGGTTTCAACCCACTTGAAAGCCTTGCCTTTGGTATTGCTCCATGCCACTTTGCATTTGTGATAAGGAATCTGCCCCTATTTTTATGAAATCAAAGCCTTTTCTTTCCGGAAGTAATGGGGATCAAATTCAGGGCCCCACAGCTTCTCCAGGCCAGTAAAGCCTTTTTTTTTCTTTTGTGGTGTTTCAAGACAGTGTTTCTCTGTGTAACAGCCTTGGCTATCTTAAAACTCTCTTTGTAGACCAGGCTGGCCTCGAATTCACAGAAATCTGCCTGTCTCAGGCTAGAGTGCTGGGATTAATGGTGGGCACCACCATGTCCCGCTCTACAAATTTTTTATTTTATGGATACAGGTGTTTTTCTTACATGCATGTCTGTGCAATACATGCATCTAGTGCTTACCAAGGCCAGAAAAGGGCATGGGATCCCCTGGAACTGGAGTTATGGATAGTTGTGAGCTCCCATATGGGTGCTAGGTCCTCTAGAAGAACAGCCAGTACTCTTAACCACAAGTCCTCTCTCCAGCCCTCATATACACGTGTGTGAGACAGGGTATCATGTTGCCCAGGCTGGCTTCAATCTTTTACCTGCTCTGCCTCCCCAGTGTTGGCCTTACACGTGTGCACCTGCTTGTCCAGTTTCAGGATGGACCTTCAAGCCTTGGGAATCCAGTGCCATGACAAGTATGGCAACAAGGAGAGACCCTTGGAGTCAGTCTCCCCAGGGTCAGGGCCTTGTGTCCCCACCAGCAGCTGATGACCCTGAGCCTCTCTGTAAAGTGGAAAAGTCACCTTTCCTGCATTGCTTTTAGGTGGCTGGAAGGGACGTGTGATGTGTAGTGTCTGATAGTCTGCAGTGGTCACTAAGAAGCTAGTGACCTTCTGTCACCATGAAATTCATTCCTTACTGATGCCACTCTTCCAGAGACCAAGGGGATCAAGTGGCTCTCTTTGATTGTTTCTGGGTCCTGAGAACCTCTTGGAGGCTCAGCTCCATCTAGTGTCCACATGGGGACACAGCCACCTCTAAAGGACAGCATCCAGTTGGAGCAATACTCCAGTGCAAATATCTGGATTTCAAATCAAGTCTTGTACCAATCAAGTATCCTTAGGCATCAGTAATACTGTCCTCAAAGGGACAGATTCATGTAACGGTTATAAGAAATGATGTTGACTGACAGATGTGGTGGCACATGACTTTAATTACAGCACTGGAGACAGAGGCAAGGGCAGATCTGTGAGTTTTAGGCCAGCCAGGGCTACACAGAAAGACCCCATCTCAACAACAACAACAACAACAACAAAATTGACATTGCCTGAGAGATTCCTAGGTACTAGAAACAACCCTAAGTTTGAATTGTACATATTCATTTCACACATGCCAGTGTCAAGAAATGGTGGTATGTTTCATTTTAGAGGTTCAGAGAAATAAATAAAATCCATCACTCTGAGGGCAAGTGGCCTGTTGGGATGCCCTTGTCCCAATGGCTGTCCCTACACCTATGCAGGTAAGGACAGCACCTGCTGGACTCTGTGGGCTATGAAAAGAGGTAATGATATTAGGAGGGCGGTAGTGGTGGGGTCTGGGAGGAGTTGAAAGGGGAATGGGTGTTATATAATCAATATACACTGTAGACATGTGTGAAATTCTCAGAGCATGAGCAAAACTATGGCAAAAAATTTTACCATTCTGCTGGGTGTAGGCAGAGGCTGCTGGGTGAGGCAGGGGATGAGGAGCTGGAGGAGGGGGTTCTGAGCATTCCGCCGGGGTTCACGCAGCATGGAGGAGTGCGGAGCTGTGACAGAGAAAGATAGAGGGTTGGCAGCTGGGAGGCATGAGTGACTATATATATGCCAGACTGACTATATATATGCCAGGCACTGAGCCCCAGAACTTGGAAGAGAAGGTGGGTTCAGAAGGCAGGTAAGCAAGAATCTGTAAGTCAACCAGCAGGAGGATGGGGTAGCATGTGGATGAGCCCCAGCTAACAGGGAAGTGGAGATGGAGGATGAGGGGTACCAGTTTGGAGGAAGTGGATCAGGTAGCCTGAGCCGTGGCCAAGGTCCATATAGGAATGGTGGATGTGAGTGTAAACAAGGAAGGTTTGCTGGAGCCAGAGAGGGCTTGAAGGGAAGAGGTGTGGCCCAAGGGAGGGCTTCAGTGTCGGGGAAGGGTCAGCAGGACCTGACAGGGCTAGCAGCACAGTGTGCACACGCAGAGGGCCTTCAGACAGATGTGAGGCAAAGGCCATGCAGCGCTGCCTTCTGGGAAAGGGAGGAGAAGAGGGGCTTGAAGAGGATGGGACAGGGAATGAAGGAGGGAAGGCAGTGAGTGGTGTTGACTGACTGGGGTGGCTGGACGAGAGGGAATGCATAACAAGGTCAACGGAGGGCCCTAAGGAGAGCCGAAGACTGATAGTAGGCAGGGTGGGCTTGCTGAGTTCTGAAGGTCAAAGGCCGGAAGGTCAAAGGTGGGGAGTCAGAGCAAAAGGAGCTTCCTGAGGGCATCCTGGAGGCTACTAACGCTGGGGACCAAGTCAGGAGGGAGGAAAAAAGAAGAAGCCAAGTGTGCTGAGAGAGGTAAGAATTCACGGTGGGACCAGAGCTGAGGTGGAGGCTCCGAAGGTACTGCCCAGAGGGGAGATCTCTGAAGAAGTCGTGTAGCCGAGAGGGAGTGCTTCTGAAGGAAAGGAGGGTTATGATGAGGGCAGAAAGCACTGGGGGGGGGTCAAGGCTGGTCCAGGACAGAGCAGCAGGGGTAAGGAGTGGTGGGGCCTTTGGTGGAGGCGGGAGGAAGCCAAAGACAGACATCCAGGGTGCCCTGCCCTGGCCTTGTTACCCAGGTTCAAAGAGACTGTGAAGCTTGCATATGTCATGAGAAAATTCAATAGCTGGTTGGTGAAGGACCCAGCAGAAAATGTTCAGAAATCAGGGACTGCCAGCCAAGTAGGCAGAGACAGCCAGTGAAGCTTCCCACCGAGCCGGTGCACCCAAGGTCAAAGAAACACAGAGAGCAGGTACAACCATATTGTGCTGCTTTTAATTATGAAAGATGTAAAATGATGCATTATAAAACTTGGAAGCTACTTTATACAAAGTCCAATCTTTCAATATTGCTTAACAGAGGGCCGGGAGTTAGGGCACGGCAGGAAGTCTGATTAGTTGCTGGGATGGCCCCATCCTGGAGCAGTGGGAAATGTGTGGAACCATCTGTGCATAAACCAGAAGAGCCCTGAAGAGTCCTAACAGGACATGTCTTCAGACACGCGTGAGCATGAACACACCACTTTCAGCTCAGAGACTACAGTAGACTTAGGAGAAGGGAGAGGGCAAAGGGGAACTGATCTTAGACATGATCCGAACATCTCCTCACACCCATATCCTAAAACCCACAACCACAACATTGCTAGAAAGGCGAGTACAGCGGGTGCAACCAAGTTAAAACACCAACAGTAGGTTTGAGGACGCCTGTAGCCCCTTCAGTGCTGAGGCCTGAGACAGGTTTGTCACAAAGGCAGCAGCAGGTGTGGGCTTACATGGCTGGGGTAGGCGGCACTGTCTCCTGGTGTCCTCACACCATCTAGACAAGGTGGGCTCTCCAGCGGCTTAAATCTTCTCCCATGAGAAGTTCAGGCTGGTGAACCTAACAGCAGATTCAACTCAGTGTTACACTGCACTGTTTTGCTTTTTTTGTTTTTTAATCGACTTCCCCCACAGCCAGTACTTCCCCATCAGCTGGAGAATAGCCCAGAGGTAAGGCAACTCCTGGTATGAAGTCCTGGGGTCTCTTATAACAAGGCAGTCCCCCTCCCCCATGCAATGATCCCATGAGTAAGGTATGATGCAGAGAGCAGATTGTGCTGGGATCCCTTTTTCTAAACTCTTCTATCAGCACCAATCCCCACCTGAAGGCTGCGGCCTGCTTTCGGGCCTGGGACAGGGACGGGACAGTGAGCATGGTGGGGTGCTGGGCAGCATGAGCAGTGAAACACTGTCCCTTTAACTAAAGTCACTCTTCTCTGGGAACTCACGCATAAAGCATGAGAGTCCCACTGGGAATGGGGCTCACAAGCAGAGGCCAGTAGCATCTTCTAGGGATGGAATCTAGTAGAGAGGATTCCAATTTGGTTTCCCAATTCAACAGCAGAGATTGAGGTAAGCAGGAGCACAAAATTCTTGGGTCCTAGAAGAAGGTGGAATATGGCACCTTCAGGGCTGTTTGAAGGATCATAAAGAAGGATCTCAGAAGAGAAGATGCAGACAAGGTGTGGAGGGTGCAGGAGCCAGCTGCCCCGGGCTCCTCCTGCCACAGGCACACGTGTCAGCTGCCTGCGTGGAAACAGTCATTGAGCCTCAGCTGCACCCCTATGTCTCCAGGAGGGTAGCAGCGGTCTAAGCAAAGATTCTCCATTAGCCCCTGCCCCTCCTCCATCTCTCTCATGCCTGACTCCTCCCCTGCGTGCTATGTGGGCATCTGGTCAAATTATTGTGTGGTAAGGTGTTAATGAATAACAGGAGTCCCATGAATCAGCCCTCATTTACTAAAAACTCATTTCTTAACCTCAACGTATGAACCTCTATTTTAGACAATTTAGAACAGAACATGGATCTGAGTTGGAAGATTTTGCTGTGGGGCCCAGTGAATGTTCCAGGGGCCCCACACTTAGGGGCTGTGGTGTGCTCAGCCATTCTGGATGACTCCCACCTAGCTGCTGAGGAACATAATCCCCAAAAAGATGGTGCTGAGCCCAGTGACAGATCTGGTCATCTAGTGTGTTAAGGCATATTTAAGTGAGTATGAATTAAAGGCACCAGTATGAGAAGGTTAAGCTCTGAGCTTAGGCAGGAAATAGAGACAGCTACAGGTCAGAATGCCCCTCCACATGGCATATTGATTCATGCACCCCTGATTGGGTGCCACACCCAGTCACACAGCACTCATTCTTACCAGGCACTTGGTAGGCACGAGGGGTTCAAGCAGGAACAAGGCACAGCTCCTGCCCTCTCAGAGCTTACAGTCTAGTGGGACTGCATTAAACAGAGAACGCTGGGGAGGAAAAGGGCAGTTCAGCCACTACGCTTTGATAGGAACCCCAGCAGCTCTGTCCAGTGGGGCATAGGGTGGCGGGCCTAAGACGGGGACATCTTGTGCAGGTGACATACCTGCAGCCTCCTAGAGGGAGAGCTGCCCTCTTTAGGCTCACCCTATGTCCAGGGAACTTTTCTTGAGTGAGCAAATGGGTCTCCCTCTCCTCCTGTCTGTGAGAAAAAGGTCCGTGTACAGGAAAGCAGCAGCAAAGTGATCACAGACTGGGAGAAAGCAAACTGAGCTCAGCTTGCCTAAGGACAGCCGCCCCGCCCTGGACGGGTGGGTAAGCTGCTTCACCTCATTACGCCATCTGGCAGAGCAATGGGGAGGCCCAGACTATCCACCAGCTGCGGGGTGCCTGGCCTTGCTGATCAGGCACAAAGGCATTGTGGTGCTCTGGTACCGTGGTGTGATAATGAGCCAACTCCGCAGGCCTGTGGCTCCCAACTGACTCCTACACTGGGTCCCACCTTCAGTGTTGACTGGGATCTGTGGTTCAGAGACTGGCGTTACACAGCACTCTATGTTTACAAACTGACTAGATGGCCAATAGAAAGAACGAACAGAGGGTGACACAGTGAGCTTCACAGTCATCAGAGGCTCCAAAGCAGCTGGCTTGCAGCAGTCCAGCCAGTGTCACAGGCCGGAGGGGCAGGATGCAGATAGGTCTAGAAAGCCATGACATCTGAGCTAGGACTTCAGGAGAGCCTGGGACAGCACGGCTGCCTCCAGTGTCGGCTGGCTCCGTTCTGGCCTGTGCGCAGGCCCTTTCAGGTCCCCTGCTGCACTGCACTGTGCTCATAGCCGGTCAGCTCGAAACGTCTCCTCCACAGAGGGGTCCAGCAGGCCCATGCTGGAATCACTTAGCATGTTGAGTCCATCCAGGCTCAACGGTTCGATCTGCAGCTCCTCTTCCAATGGAAACGGAGTGTCCATGTCCAGGCCAACCTCGGGCATGCCCGACAGCCCCCCACTAAGGCCTTTGTACAGACTGGCACTGGGATCTTCTGAAAGAGGCAGAGAGGAGATTTAGGGACAGGAGCACTGAGGCTTCTAAAGAGTGACAGTCCCCAGCATTCTAACCTGTCATCTTCCCAGGCAGGCCAGTGAACACCAACATACTGACTACACAAAGCCCACAGCTCTTGGGCCCTGAAATCAGCTTTTGTTTTTTTTAGACAGAGTCTTATTCTGTATGTAGCCTAAGGTTGGCCTCAAACTCAAGGGAACCATCCTGTCTCAGCTTTCCAAGGGCTTGAATTACAGCTATGCATGACCATGTCCAAATAAATCTTTGAATTTCTGTAGTTTTTCCCCCCTTTTAAATGGTTTTCAGTCACCAGAGACTAAATATTTTGGAAGTGTGCTGACCACCAGGCCCTTTCCTCATTGCCTGTCTCTGTCTCTGGGGGTCTATTTCATTCACAGAATTCAATATGATCTAAACTATCTTTAGAGGGAAATCCCTTTGAAATGAGATCAACAACAAAGCTGAAGGGTGGCCCACGCTTACCTGTCAGGACGGTGTTCGGGAAGCTCCCACAGTTGGAATACAGGTTAGGTCTCAAGTGAAATGAGTCCTGTGGCTCTCGGTGACTCTGCTGCACCAGAGGTACCTGGCAGAACCAAAAGCAACTCATGCAACGTGTCCACAGACTGTCCCGCAGTCCTGTCTCGCATCCCAGGGGGCTCTGCTGTGGTAACAACACGCCCTGGACATCAGGAGGGGTCCGTGAGGACCACAGTGTGGGTGGCTTTTCTCTGCTCACACTGTCTGTTACATGATCCCAAGAGACACCAGTGGCCACAGGGTCAGATTCTGAGTCTCAGATGTTTCTGCTCCTCAGACTCACCAAGACACGTGGGAGCCCATCACAGTTCCCTCTGTGCTCTCTGGCTTTCAGGGAAGTAAGAGTGAAATCTTCCCTCCACACTGGGCCAGCACCTCTCTAGGACAAAGCCTCTAAGGCCCAAGTAGGAATTGGGACTGATTTAGGAATTTTTGCTGAAATTAATTTTTTAGACCATTAAAAAAATAATGTTTCAGAAGAAAGACCTCCAACACTTTTGCGGGGAGTGCTGGGCTCTTTATAAAACTGTGAGGTAGATGCAGCTTGGTGCAAGAGTGCTTGCCTGGCATGTGTGAGACCCTGGGTCTCATGCCAAGCACCACAAAATACAAATCAATAACAGCAACAAAACAAAATGCAAGAGAGGTGAGGACTACTCCTCTTGCCACAAGGCATCACTATTGACCACTTGGCTATAGCTATCTTTATCTGTGTCACTATTGTTAAGTTCTGAAGGTGGGTCAACCCTCCCTTCACTTTTTAACCCATCCTGGAGCCTGACCTGTCTTTACTAAATACTACTGAAAACACAAAAGCAAAAGAAAGTGGCTGAATGGAAATGCCCTGCAGCAGGAACTTCCCCTATCCAGTCCTGGGCTAAGCTCTCCTAGAAGGAGACGCACTGAGCTCGGAGTGGCCCTAGGCTTGCAGGCAAGTGCTACACTATTTTCCAGCTCTGCTACTGCAGCCAGGTGTTATGCTTCCTTGTCCTTCAGATCCCCCCCCAACCTAGGGGATTGACTAGTTAGTTAGCTGCTATGGTGTGTGTGTGTGTGTGTGTGTGTGTGTGTGTGTGTGAGTGTGTGTGTGTACACATGTATTCTGTGTGCATCTGAAGGCCAGAAGACAACCTTGGGTGCTATTCCACAGATGCCATTCACCTTTTGAATTTAAGATGGGGTCTCTCATTGGCTTGGAACTCATCAGTTAAGCTTGGCTAGCCGGCCAGAAAGCCCTAGGGATTGTAGTTGCCTTTCTAGTGATGGGATTATGAGTGTGCACAATGGCACCTAGGATTTCTTTCATCTTTTATTTTTAAAAGAGTTATCTTTTAGCCAGGCATTGGTGGCCCACACCTTTAGTCTCAGCATTTGGGAGGCAGAGGCAAGCGGATCTCTGTGAGTTCGAGCGAGTTCCAGGACAGGTTTCAATACAGAGAAGCCCTGTCTCAAAAAAAAAACAAAAAAAAAACAAAACAAAAAAAAAAAAACAAAAAAAAAAAAAAACAAAACACAGATTTATTTTTATGCATATAAGTGTTGACCTACATATATTTTGTCCACCACATGCATGCCTGGTGTCCGAGGAGGCCAGAAGAAAGTCAGATGCCCTGGAACTGGATTTATGGATCTTTGTAAGCTGTTATGTGGTGCTGGGAACCAAACCTGGGACTTCTAAAAGAGCAACAAGTGCTCTTATCTGTTGAGCCATCTCTCCAGCCTCTGATGCTTCTTTTTTAAAGGGCATCTCATTATGTAGCTTTGGTTGGTCTAGCACTTCTACATATACAAGATGGATCACAAACTCACAGAAATATGCCTCCCTCTACACCCCAAATGCTGGGGTTAATGGTGTGCATCACTATACCTGGTGTCTACTTTATTAAAAGTAGGTTTCCGGGATGGAACTCAAATCCTTGTGCTTTATTGGTTAATTATCTCCCCAACTCTATGACTAGAGTGTTATCAAAATGCACCATTGTTCCAACAGTTCCTCTGCTGAGACCTGACCCTACTACACGAGGCATGTAAGGCATAAGGCAGCCGCCCAGTACTGAGTAAGAGGGAAGACGCAAGGCTCTCCTGGTCATGGAACACAACTGAAACAAAAGGGAGGTCTCATCTCTCAGGTTGAAGGGTCTATACACAGAACAACCTTGGTGGTGCATTTTATACCTCAGGAAAGGTAGGGCAGAAGCAGTCACTTACCTGTTGAGGAAAGCCAGGGCTGGGCCTCATGGGCTGTTGGTCAAAGCCCACATCTGGGAAGAAGTTGGTCACAGACGAGCCCTTTGGGAAATAAGGAGTAACTCTTTACAGTTGGAGCGCAGAGTGAAACAAGCATCCCCACCTCACCATGTCCCACAGGGACTAACCTGGGCAGTGAGGAGCTGGAAGTCCGACTGTGGCAGGGAGGGGGCTGCCTGGGGCGGATGAGCAGGGGCCTCCTGGGAATGGGGCTGCTGCAGGAGTGGCTGGGGCAGCTCCTGGGGTGTGGGGTAAGGGGGTGGTGGGGACACTTGGGCTTGAGCTTCTGTGGGCAGGAAGGATACCACCTGTGAAGTAAATCAAGTGACTCATTAGCTTCCAAGTGAGAAGCCGAGATGCCCTGCTCCTCTGTCTCCCGGCTCCTGCTCTTCCACAGCTCATCTCAGTTTCACACCCTTGAAAACATTTCCTATCAGTGGCATCTCTATTGTTTAAATAAACAAGAATATAGCCAGTTTCCTGTTTTCTCAGTGAAAATGATGTTTGTTGTTAAAGCCACGGCTGCTGGTGAGAGGTGGAAAGTGAAGAAGGTTCTCTGCTGTACTACCATCTTAAACTCGACTAAAGCGAGACGCTGACACAGCAGTAACAACAGTGAACAAAGCAGACACCACCACCACAAGCAACGCTGATGGGAGGAGAGAGAGAGAGAGCGCGAGAGAAGAAAATGGCAACACAACCTGTGAAGCAGCAGAACCGAGAAGGCCATGTGTGTCACCAAGGAAAACCAGGACTAATCTGATTCATGTGACCCAATTCCTGAAGAGCTCCAGGCTGTGCGAGGCAGCTAGTGCCCTCCCTGATGCTGCCCGGGGAGAGGAGGCTGGCTCTGGAGAGTAAAGGTAAGGTCTTTGCATGCCACAAGGTGAGCTATCTCCCTCCAACCTGGCGCCAGAGACTGTTCTCCAGACCCAAGCCCACGTATGAAACAGTGCAGTACTGCTCAGGGCTTTGAACCAGCCCGAGACTTCTCTAAACAGAAGTACTAGACAGAAGCCCCCCACAGAAATGAGAAAGACGGTTCTGTCATCAAGTATGCCTCAGTAAGCCCCTAGTCTCAGAGCCGCCTGTCAGCAATTTAGTGTCTTGCTCTTAAACGCAAGGGGAGAACCAAGGATTGCCAGACGGCCTCATCTCCAGGTGGGTAGGGTACCTGCCCGGCATGCCCATCAGAGCCCAAAGAGACACAGACCAGAAACATAGGAAGGAAGAAACAAGGAAAGTAGTTTACTATTGTAACATTTAGGCCATTTTAAATAATGCTTATCTTGGCCTGGTGTAGTAGCACACCTTAAAGCCTAGCACCTGGGAAGCAGAAGCAGGCAGATTTCTGAGACCAGTCTGGTCTACAGAGAGAGTTCTAGGACAGCCAGGCCTACACAGAGAAATCCTATTCAAAAACAAAATAAAACAAAAAACCCAAATGAATGAAAGTCAAGAGAAGAAATATGGGCATTAGAGGAAAATTTCACAGTGTTCAACATTTGTAAAATAGGAATTCCAGAGGAAATGGAGAAAAGCAAGGGAAATGTTATTGAAGAAATAATTAAAATTCCCAGAAACGATGGATGTAAGTTTCCAGACACAAGAAACTCAGCAAACCTCCAGACTCATTACAAGCCACACACATTATCTCAAAGTTTCACAATACTTGAGACAGGAACAACCACCCTAGATGCTTCCAGAGGAGTGAAGGAGATGCCATTTTAAGTCTTAGGTGTATGAGTGGAGTAGGTCAATCAATACCTCTAAAGTTCCAGATGGACATATCCCAATTTAGAGTTCTCTATCTAGCCAACTATTAACTAAATGGAAGGCAGAACAGATTTCCTCAATACCAGAGTTTGGGCTGAATTAGCAACACACAGCTAGAAAGTGCATCAACAGCAGGACATTAACATCTGGGAGCAAAACAAACACTCACTTTGTTATTTCATCATGTACTATGAGGGTCAAGTCTAACTACAGCACTGTAGCTATAGAAACACAAACACCACATATTGTTCTAACTGAAATTATAAAAAGTGATCAGACTCAGTAAGGTGTTTATGAAAGGGGCTGTGGGAGTGTTGAAGAAAGCTAAATCCCAGTCTTGGATGGCAGGATGTCATTAGATAATGCTTAACAGCAAAAATCTACAACAACACAAGCATGAAATAACATGTTTATACCAAAGAGATTAGCTAAGATGGTTGGAAAAGCCAACTCCAGCTAGTGAAAACTGTGGTTAATGGGTTATGGGAGACAGGCCCTTTAAAACGATTTGCTTTTTGGAACTACACGCATGAGTAAGACATTTTAAAATTTAAACATTAAATAAATAATAATAATAAAAATATTAGCGGTGGTGGCACACGCCTTTGATCCCAGCACTTGAGTGGTAGAGGCAGGCAGATTTCTGTGAGTTTGAGGTCAGCCTGGTCTAGAGTGAATTCCAGGATAGCCAGGGCTGTTACACAGAGAAACCCTGCTGTGAAAAACAACAACAAAAATTATAGTTAATGTTTTCTATCCTTAAAATGTAGTTAGAGAGCAAGAACACTTTTATAGCTCATAAAATAATCTCATACACAAAACAAAACTAAATAGGGGTGGGGGAATGGGGAGTTCAAGACAGGGTTTCTCTGTGTAATAGTCCGGGCTACCCAGGAACTCACTTTGTAGAACGGGCTGGCCTGGCCTCGAACTTACAGAGATCCACCTGCCTATGCCTCCTGAGCACTGGGATTAAAGGTGTGCACCACCACTGCCCAGCAATCCAGCAACATTTTTAAAATTTAATTAAAAAATAAAATCCCAAATGCTGTGTCATGTTCCTCAGAAGTGGCTCAAAATGTCAGCATCCCATCCCAGTAACTGGTAGAGTGATTAATAACCAGATCATGTGACTTCTTTCCTGGTGTTCCACTGACTCCTCTTCATAAACCATTACTCATTTACATGAAGCAATGAGTAATTAATGATGTTACAATGTCTCTAGGGTGTGGTAAATGGGTCAAAAATATATTTATCAATGATTATGGTAAAGAGAAACGCTCCAAGAGTTTAGAATAAAAACAAAGTCAGAAAGCCCAAGGTGACATTCCTCTACTTCTATAATGACTGTGACTCCCAAATATGCCTCTTTCTAAGCAGACTCCTTCTAGAGTGCTGTCACCCTTGTCAGAGCTAGTATTTCATATCATGAGAGTATTGTTCTTCAAGTGGGCAGTTGAATGAGGGAAGATTGAAGTGTTTGTGGGGCTCTTCTCTGTGACTTACTGTAGTTATTAGGTCAATGTTTGATTTTCCGTGCAGTTTGCAATTTAAACAGGTTTCTCTGAACTGCTGTTCATTCTCCAGACTCGACTCCACTCCTTTCCCCAGCCCCAACTTCAAGAGTTAATGGCTACAGATTGTTTAATATTTGCTTAAGGGCAGTACATATTACAAGTCGATTACAAATAAAAAATCATTAATGCATTCTGACTCATGAACACCTCTGCTCTCATTTTAGGAATAAGATAGAAATGAGTGTATTTGTAGTCTCAGGGATGTGCAGTGCAATAATAATGGCCCAGGCCTGAAATGGCCCCAAAGAAAAAGCTCAGCCTAGTCTTCCTCACCTGGGAGGCAGGGTATGGGTTCAATGGGCTGGTTGAAGAAAGCTGTCTGCTGAAGACTTGATGTGCTTCAGGGCCAGGAGAGAGCGTGAGAGGGCTGACTGGAGGCTGCCTGCGCCGAGAGGGGCCACTCAGGTTTGTGGTGGAGAGAGACGGGTTGCTAAGGGAGAAGAGACGGAGCGAGGGGTGAAGAGCAGATGCACTGGCCACAGATGTCTGTGGGGGGCTATTGAAGGATGATGATAGCCCAGTCTTATTGAGTGTGGCTTGGATGGAAGGATTACTTCGAGAACTCTGGAGACCTGCAAGATAACAAATCCACAGGTTTCTTGTTATGATTTCAGATCAAAGCTTTTGTTTTCCAAAGTGAACTTCCTACTAGCTATGTGATGACTGTGTGTGTGAAGAAGTTTCTGGGCAGCTCTCCTACTGGGAATGTCTTGGTGTACCAATGGCAAGGAAAGGCAACACCATAGGAGAGGTGCGGCCAAGCATCCAGCTTGGTGAGAGGAGAATTACTGCTTCCAAAAGGGAAAACGACTGAAAAACCATCCCGTGGAAGCTGGAGCAGGTGAGGAGTGGCGAGGAGCCTCGATTTAGAGCCTAGTGCATCCCCCCATCACATGACCTGGATCCTCTATGGCCACTGAAGAACGTGCCCCCATGCCCTCCCCCAGACCTCTCAGCCTTATAGGCAGTCCCTCACTCTTGCATTTTGGCCTCTTCATAAGCTGTCTGTTAACAATGTTTCCAAACTCAGGGTAGGATGTTTCTGGTAGTCCCTGTTCCTCTGAGGAGAAGTGGTGTGAGGGGAGTGAATCTTAGCATGAGCAAGACGTTTTGGGAATGGGGTCTTCATAGCACAGACACTGAGAGAAGAATTCCCGGAAGCTGGGACCCCACTGGACCAGAGGGAACAGCTCCACTCCATGAACAAGAAAGCTGCTTCCTTCAGAGGCCAGTATTTCAGCAGGCCACATCCACAGTTATTCAGTCCACCACATTTGTGTCTAAGTTGGGAAGCACAAATGTGTGTTTGTGGAGGTCAGGATAGCTCAGTGGCAGAACACTTGCCTGGAATTCTTGAGGCCCTAGGTGAGTGCTCCAGTACCTTGAGCAAAACCAAACAAAACAAAAGCAGAAACAAGTAAGGACAGCACCCTGCAAGCCAGCCCTTGAGGGGTAGAGGCGGTGGGGCCAAGAGTTCAAGATCTGCTAGCTGGAGGTCAGCCAGAGCCACATGGGAGTGTCTCAAAAAAACAAAATCAGGGTCAGCCAAATGGCTCAATGGGTAAAGGCACTTAGTGCCAAACCTAGTGTCCCTTGACTTGCACATGTGTACAGTTCTTGCACACGTGTGCATGCACGTGCATACACAGACCAAGTAAAAATATAATGGAAGAAAAAATTGTTTGATAAAAATTACTGAAATGAAGAGATTACAAAATCAACTATTTTAGCTGGCAAAATTATTATGATTTAATTTAACTTTTTAAAATGGAGACAGGACATCTATCACATAGGCCAGGCCTGAGCAGAACTAGATTTGTAGCAAAGGATGACCTTGAACTCCTGATTTTCTTGCTTTTACTTCACAAATGCTTGGAGTGCAGGTGTGGAACACCATACCTAATACAAGATCATTAACTTAGTTTTATTTTTTTAAAGATGTATTTATTTTTATGTATACAGTGTTCTGCCTGCAGGCCAGAAGAGGGCGCCAGATCGAATTACAGATGGTTGTGAGCCACCATGTGGGTGCTAGGAATTGAACTCAGGACCTTTGGAAGAGCAGCCAGTGCTCTTAACTGCTGAGCCATTTCTGCAGCCCCGAGATTTTTAATTTTAAAAGTGTTTATTTACTTAGTATATGTGTATATGATGGGGAAGGGACACAAGCCTTGGCACATGTGGCGGCAGAGGACAACTCTGGAGTCACTTTCTCCATTCACCTTTGTGTGGGTTCTGGGGGTTGAACTCAGGTTTGGCAACAAGCGCTTTTATCCACTGAGCCATTTCATTAGCCTGAAAAAACATTTTTAAAGTTAGGAATGAAGTTTCTGATAGGACCCTGATCGTTATCCCACCACTCAATCGATGCAAACATGAGACTCACATAGCTCAAATAGTAAAGGAGAGCTAAGGGTGTGAATGCAAGACTTAAAAAGAAGCCTCCTTCAGAAAGAAAGCTCAAAGACACATGTACCAGGCTCTCTCTAGAATGGTAGCTCGGGCTGGTCTAGAATCGGTGATGCACCTGCCTTAGCTTTTTTATAATTTATTTATTTTTATTTTACGTGCATTGGTGTTTTGCTTGCATATACATCTGTGTGAGCAGGCCAGATCCGATTGAACTGGAGTTACAGACAGATGTGAGCTTCCATGTAGGTACTGGGAATTGAACCAGGGTCCTCTGGAAGAGCATCCAGTGCTCCTAACCGCTGAGCCATATCTCCAGTCCCTACCTTAGCTTTTTACACTTCATATGGCATATACTTAAACATTTTTATTTCATGTGTATGAATGCTTGTTTCATGCACATGCCTGGTGCTGGCGGAAGCCAAAAAGAGAACATCAGATGCCCTAGAACTGGGGTCCCAGGTGATTATGAGCCATCATGTGGATTCTAGGAACTGAACCTAGGTTCTCTGCAAAGAGTAGCAAAGTTCTTAACCACTGAGCCATCTCTGTAGCCTCAGTTGAAGGTGTGCACAGCACTACAATGCTAGATACTTAAGCTATGGTGTTCTGCATAAAATGATGTGTTTTGGAGAAGGTGACACAGTCAATAACTGAACATGACGTTTCAGGCAGAAGCAAAGGGTTAAAACCTACAGGTGGCAGCTTCCTCAAGACCCCAGGCAACTGTGGGGGATGTTGTTTTGTTTTAGTGACCCTGGGCATCATTGCCCACTGAGAATTCATCCAAAAGGGGTCTTGCCCAGGCTGAGTCTAGAACTTTCAAAGGGTTTGAGAGTTTCTGTTGTGAAATAATCAAAGAAACTCAGGGCTAAGAGGCTGGTGTCTTCTTAAACAGTGTCCCAGGTTCCCTACTACACTTGGGAACACCCTGCACTCAAGACATTGTCATGTGGCTTCACTATTCACTCTTGACAGTGAGCTTGCCCATATTTAACTTGATTTCTAAAAAAAAAAAAAAAACAAAATTAAAAAAGATGGTTTATTATTAAATGATACTCCCACCAAAAACAAAACAAAAAATACCTCCAAAAACAAAAATAAAGGTGATCTCTGCAACCAGCTGTGCAAAACCTAAATCACACTGCTCAGCAGAAGTCCCACAGCCCCAGTGCAGACCTGGAGGGCCATTCCCAGGTGGGCAGGCTCTGCTGCCTGGAAAGTCTTACTGAACCCAGAGTGGAAACCAGAAACCACTTCCTCCACCTACACTGTCACTGAGGAGCCTTCCAAATGGAACATTCCAGAGCAGGCGCCTGACTTGGGGCTGTACTACACCACTGGTAGAGGAGGGTCTACTGCCTGCTCTGGGTGCCGACAAGAGCACTGTTCGTTCAACGTGAAGTCAGCGGAGGGTCTGGACTGTGGGCAGTCAAGCCTGCAGTACGTCCACGTCACATCATAAGCAACATGGCTGCAGCCAGGACCACATCTGTGAGCACTTCTGAACACGTGGGTGTTTTTGAACTGTCGTAGATTTCTACTTAACCGACGTATGTTAAGTATAAGTATTTTCATCACGCCCACTGTAAATTTAAAATATTGTCCTTTTGAAATCCAGTGGGGAACTGGGGAGCTAAAGAAATGGATTAAACGATAAAAGATAACTATATGCTGATAGGAACGGCTAACATTGTTCAGTTGGCATAGAATGGCACCTACTTCTCTACTCCCAAACATTCCTCCCCAAGTTCTGTGTACACATGGGTTTGTGAAGACAATGGAGAATGTGGTGTAGCAGAACTACTCCAATGCCTGTCAATCAAGTGGAGCTAGGAGCCCAGAGCAGACACTAACCAGCGCGAAGGATCCTGTAACATGTCGCCTTTCTACATGAGGGTACTTACCAGGGGAGTTTCGTATGCCCAGATGAGTCATAGCGGCGGGAAGGCTGCCCACACTATTCCCCACACTCATGCTGGTGTCCAGGGAGGCTGGCAGCGGTGCTGAGTAGTGCAGGTTGGTTAGATCTGGTAATGACCCTCCAGTGTTCAGGGTCCCCAGGAACGGTGAGAGGCCCATGTTCTGGCCATTATGTGGAAAAGCACTGAAAGCAAAGAAGGACTGCTTTAGACAGTGCGTCTGGCTGCTGGAAAATGGGACACATAGGTTGCCTTTTCCATGTCAGTGACTGTGGTCCCTGGGGGCCCTGCCTCGCCTGAGAGTGTGGACATCTGCTCACCCTCTCTGATATAATCCCCTGGCTTGATAAATGATACAGATGCCCTCACCTATGCTTATCTTACAGGGTATTCTCCAGATCATATTAGATCATGAATACTGCAAAGTTTAAGTCACTATATAAAATGTGAGATACTATGTCATATTTAGAGTTCTTTTTGCTAGCTTTCTAAATTATTTTTGCTACCAAAATTGCACAAAAAAGCAACTATATACACAAACCTTTGCATCAGCTCCTGCCTCCAGGTTCCTGTCCTCACTGCTTTTGACAGTGAACTATTACATGGAACTGTGAGTGAAATAAACCCTTTCCTGTCCAAGTTATTTTGGTCATGGTGCTTCATCACAGCAATAGTAACTCTAACTAAGATCCCTGGAGCTGAAGTTACACATGGTTGTAGGTCACCCATCTCTTTATCATTAAGCCATCTCTCCAGCCAAGTTTCCATAATCTTGAAAATAAGGAAAACATATTAGCACTCATTTATTAAGACCACTGACTGATTATCGCCTTCCAGGCACAAGGGAGGGCTCAGGAGATATGATGAGTCGATAGAGTAAGTAAGGTGTATGTTCATGGTTGAGTCTGCTTTGATGTTTGCACACCTGGGCAAGGATGCAAACCACAAATGGGAGTTAGCATTGTATCTGTTTTAATATGTGTGTGTTCGAAGACAGGACTTCTTACTGGACCTGGAACTAGGCTGGAAGCCAGCAAGCCCCCGGGGTTCTCCTGTCTCCACTCCCAAAAGCAGTGGGGTTATAGGCATACGTGCGCCATACCCAGCTTTTCATGAGGGGGCTGGGAATTTAAACTCAGTGTTCATAGCAAAAGCTATGAGCCCACTGAGCCCTCTCTCCAGTCCTTGCTTTAATCTTCCAAAGTTATAAAAAAGAACAAATTCTTGTGTCCAGAAAAAGCATACATTTATAATAGCTTTGATTCAAATGTAGACTTCCCAGAATTCTTGGGGTCCTGCATTAGCACACATTGGGAGAAACAGCCCAATCCTTAGCCCATATTTTCTTTCCTTACCCAGCCCTAGTCTGCACTGGAAGGCAGGCACGTGGCCATCCTACAAACACATGTGTACTGTGGGTCCCTGCAGTCCCTTGGACTCTGTGTAGCTTAGGAGTGGTCTCTCTAAAGGACAAGGCTTCTTAGTCCTCCTATGAGGGAATCATGTTCTTGGAGTCCATAAATGGAGCAGCACAATGATCAAGCAGGCAACTGTAGGAAGTATTCTACTCTTAGAGTGATTGGGCACAAGCAATACCAGGCACAAAATCTGGAGATGCCAAAGACAGGAAGAGTGGCGGTGAGGAAGGCTTCACTAGGGACATGACACAATACTCAAGGACCCGCAAGATGCTTGGTGTTGCTGGGGCCAGTGCAAGTAGTGCAGGTGTTGAGAGGTTAAGTGAGAGAGGCTAATGGGCAAGAAAACACAAGGGACGATACTGTCGGGAAGAGTCAGTCTTGGACTGTAGGAGAGAGGGAGCCAAGTGCAGGCTAGGGGAGCTACAGTAGTCACAGTGGGAAAGACTCAAGGGAACAGAGAGAGGGTAGGAGAAGAGAACAGAAGGCTCTTCAATGACCCAGCATGACTCAGGGCAGAGCAGTGCGGCTGAAGAGAGAGGAACAGCTGAAGAAAGCCACATAAGCCAGAGCAGGGAGAGGAATGATTCGCTCCACACAGCACACATTGCAGAGCAGGGACCAGCTGCAACTGTTGGCATAGGGCCTGCAGGAGACCCCGGTAAGCATAGTCATAAAGCGTGCAGCTTGTGAAATCCAACACACTCGTGCAACAACAGAGCCTGATGGGATCTAGAACGAGGGAGTGACTGGTATGTGGGAGGAGGCATCCTGGAGGCCCTGAAAGCTAAGTGGGAAGATGAAGAGCTCAGGTGTGCTAGGCAGGAAAACCATTTCGGTGGGAGTCAAAGCAGGGGCAGCACATTAAAGCATAGACGTCCAGGAGCTGTGAAGACTGATGACCACTGAGGGGTAAGTTAGGAGGGTGGGGGTGATGGAGCCGGGACTACAACATCCTTATTAAACTGCGATAGCTGGCAGACTGCTGAGGACAAGGGCACCAGGGGAAGGCTAGGAAACGACACACCCAGTTTTCTTAGGATGGTTTGGTAGACAGACCTGGGAGGCAAAGAGCAAAGCCAGGAGGCAAAGGGGCAAGCGGTGGCTATGCTGAGTTATCATACTGGAGCGTGCAATGCCGTGGGAACGGAGGAGTGGGGGTGGATGCTGGAGAAATCTGTGGCAGGGCCCAAGAACAGTTCCTGACTTCTGACATGGGACTGCTAGACTTGATGCTAGACTGGGGTAAGGGCAAGAAGATGGGTAAGAACATAAATCCTATCTTAGATACTTAGCTTTGGCTACACAGGATGACATGCAGATGGGATGTCCCTCACTGAGGGGAAGCCCTGGAGGTGGCGACTCACAGGCTGGGAGGACAGTTACACTGAGATAGTGTGGCTGGCTGGAGAGAGGGCTCAGGAGTAAAGAGCACTGGTTGCCCAGAAAATCCAAGTTTGCCAGCATCCACATGGTGACTCAGAACCATCTGAAACTCCAGTTCTAGAGGATACGATGCTCTCTTTTGGCCTACAACACATGGCATACACATAGTACACAGACATACATACAGGCAAAAATGCATGAACACATAAAACTCTGTGTGTGTGTGTGTGTGTGTGTGTGTGTGTGAGAGAGAGAGAGAGAGAGAGAGAGAGAGAGAGAGAGAGAGAGAGAGAGAGAGAGAGAATATTCTGGAAGTCAGAGGGCACAACAGGTGATGGAGAAGAGGTTGGGAAGAAGGAAGCCGAGTGTGTTTTCCTTAACACCCTCTTCTCTCTGTAAAAGGAATAGGGCCAGTCTAACCGCAGGAGCTGAGGAGAATCTGGCAATAGATGGGGACATGTGGATGAGTGAGGAAGAAAGTCTGTAGGAAATGTCATGAAAACCGTATCTTTCAGATGGCTGGATGTGTGGAACTGGCTATAAAGCCAAAGTTTGAGCACTAGAAAACAAAAATTAAGACAATGGAGTAGCTCACTGTAAGAACATGGGCTTCCTGTGTCAGCAGACAGAGCAATGGCCAGGTGGGCTGAGGTCACAGTGATGTGACCAGTGTGAGCCTTGGTCCCAACTCTGTAGTTGGGAAATGCAAGTGGTCACTTCATGAATGTTGCTCCCATCACTCCAGTCCCCACTAGATCTGGTATAAAGCGAGCAATGTTCCTCCTGGTTCAGATCTCTCTGGAGAATCAAGTCTAGGTGTGATCCAACTACAAGGCCTCCTTATGCTCATCGGAGTCTTCGTACATGCTGTTCTCTCTGCCTGGGTCCCTCACATCCTTTCTTCTGGCTGGATTCTGTCATGGCTACTCTATCAGATGGCTTTTGTCACCATCGATCAATGTCTATCTCCCTGCTGTGTTCCTCCGAGTTACCTGCTTTTTCGTATGTTTCTCTAGGAACACTAGCTCTTTACAAGCAGGTACTGACCTGTTCTGTTTATTGTTGGATCTGGTGCATAAAATTAGGAATCAATAACAATCTGCATGAACAGAACACTGATGGAATGCTATCTTTAACATAAAAGCAAGAAGGCCACTTCCTTTACCTAGCAGATACTAGTTCCAGAGCTCTCCAGAGTTAAGATTGCAGCCCTACTTCTACAGTGTAAGGCAGTGGAACCTGCAGTGTTGATTTGTCTGAGATGTAAAGCCCAGACATGCTTTTAATTAATTAATAAGGTGTGTGTGTATACGTGTGTGTGTGTGTGTGTGTGTGTGTGTGTGTGTGTGTGTGTGTGTACATGCACAAAGGCTAGAAGAGGAATCTGGGTGTCCTGCATTAAGTCATTCTCTGCTTGTTTCCTTGACACACCACACCCTCTTACCGAACCTGGAACCTGGCTGGTGGTCAGCAAGCCCCAGCGAGCCTTATGTTTCTGCCCACACTAGATTTACAGATGCATGCTCAGCTTCTTACAAGGCTACTAGGGATTTGAACTTGGGTCTTTATGCTTGTACAGAAAGCTCTCTTACCCTTAGAGTCATCTCTTTAGTCCTCCCTCTTCCATTTTTTTTAAACACAGGGTATTAATTGTCCCAGGCTGGTCTCAAACTTGCTACGTAGCAGAGGATGACTTTACACTTCAGATCCTTCTGCACTCACATCTGGATTGCAGGATTGCAGATGAATGCTGGGATGGGTCCTTGGCTTTGTGCATGCTGGGCAAGCACCCTGCTAACTGAGCTACAATCTTAGCCCCCGACTTTTTGGTTCTTAAATCTTGGCCCTGTCTGTAGCAAGGTCCTGCATCTCTGGATGGGCTGGTCTTCTTTGTCCTGCCATATCCCTAGCAGGCTTTCTGTTGTTCTTCTCAGCACCATGGGCTGTATTTAACTGACCACAAAAGCTGTGGCACTCAGTGCCCTAATGCACTGCTGTGCCATCATGATTTTGTGACATACTACTTAATGGCCAGAAGCTAATTTAATTCACCCAAAGACCCTTTAAAATGGACATTTGTGTCAAGCAAGATCATGCAAAGGTCTCATTTTCCAATCACATTGCTCTGGTCTGAGGAAGACTTGCTGTTCCTGAGCTGGCTTTGTCCCATGCAGCTTTCTCAGTGCTCTCGCAGGGCACTGTCCAGCCCAGGGCCCTCCCCATGAAGACCCACACAGATCATTCAGCTGCTTCTAAGGCAATGGGTAGCTGTAGTTCCCTTAGCAGTGGCGGAATCACTCCTCAATGGAGTCATCTATACCAGCCTCCTTTAGAGTGTCAATACCTAGGCTTCACAACCCCTCTACCCCTTAATCTCCCTTACTCTCATCTTCCTCACAAACTTTAGAACTGTTCATACTACAAAGATTTTTAAACTATATGTGTTTTAATAATCTATCTAAAATATTTTAGGAAGTAAATCTGTATGTCATAAAATCTATTTATTAAGCTGGGTGTATGGGCACACACCTTTAATCTCAGCAGGTACAGGCCGATTTCTGTGAGTTCAAGGCTGGCCTAGTCTACATAGTGAGTTCTAGGCCATCCAGGGTTACATAATGAGCCTCTTACCTCCAAACAAGCAAACAACAAAATTCCCCCCCAAAAAAACCACCAAATAATAAACATTAATTAATGAATAGCGCACAGACTCATCTGAAATCAAAAATCTTCCTGTATCTTACTATTCATCTTTTCAAGACAGGGTTTCTCTGTGGCTCTGTAGATCAGGCTGGCCTTGAATTCACCCTGATCATCCTTTTTAAACATAGCAAAATACACATACTATATAAATTCACTGATTTAACTGTTTTTGCAATGTGCAGATCAGAAGCACTAAGTACATTCTTGGAACTTCTAAAATCAACTTCTATGTAGCCAATCAAGTTAACTGATAGTTTCCTTCCCTGTCAACTGATACCCTCGGCCTGCCACAGGCCCCAGTGGACACATGCATGCTTCTGTTTCTATCAGGTAGGTTCCGTGTGTGCCCAGAGTCAACTGGGCTATTCTTTTGTTTGTTTGTTTGTTTGTTTTGTTTTGTTTTTTGAGACAGGGTTTCTCAGTATTGCTTTGGAGCCTGTCCTGGAACTTGCTCTGTAGATCAGGCTGGCCTGGAACTCACAGAGATCTGCCTGCCTCTGCCTCCCAAGTGCTGGGATTAAAGGTGTGAGTCACCAATGCCGGCTAACTGGGCTGTTCTTAAACACATTTATAGTGGTTTTTATTGGCTTTGGGCAGCTATATAATGGAACTCAAATACATGAATTATGAGTATAAAAGAGAACAGCTATTTTTATGCAAATGCAGTTGACTTGGGTTTATATAGAGCAAGTTCCATTTTTCAGTTCTGTGACAAAGCAGAGAAGACTTTCATAAAAATTTCAGCACAAGGGACAAGACTTACTTGCTGCCCCCAACATCACAGGATCGAGGGCGTCCAGACAGAGACTGGATCTGGGAAGAGACAAAGAAAGCTAGGCTTATTCAAAGCACAGCCAAATTCAAGTGTTTGAAAAGGGGGCTCTGAGCACCCTAGTTAGAGTGACAGACAGAACAGGCCAAAATCATCTTCACAGAGCACCCATGTAAGTTTGGGGAGTTTTAAATGTCTTAACTTTCCAGTCAAAAGAGAAGTATAACATTAACATATTTTCTTGATTCCTTATTAATTTGTCTTCTAGTTAAATGGTTATTTCCTTCAAAGAGTCAAATGTTTTAAACATTCAGATTTTAAATATTTCTTTTTCAATTGGTAAGACAGAAAAAGAAGAAAATAAAAAAGCAAAACAGAGAGGGAATGAGTATCAAGGGAAAAGGTCAATCTAAGATGTAAATTGGTAGGGGACAGGGATGGATACCAACCACACAGCCACAGGACCAAGGAAGACTAGTTCATCTCTCCAGAGAGAGCAGCTCCGGGCATTCTGAGGGAGTGCCTGCCTGCATACCCATTTTCTGTCTTCTACAATTAGGTCTCTAAAGCCACCTTTCACAGCCAAGAGGATGGAGAGCTGTTTAAATACATGGATTTTAAATCTTGGTTCATTTAGGCCCCGTATGTATGTATGTATGTATGTATGTATGTATGTATGTATGTATGTATGTATGTGTGTGTGTGTGTGTGTGTATAAACCTTTCAAGATCACTCCAGTGCTAGCAGACTTTGGTAGACTTGATGGAAGAAAAGGAGCAGGACCAATACGTCTCTGATAGATGAGGACAGTTAGGCCCAGAGACCAAACAACCAACTACATCTGAGCATCACTAAGGGTTGGAAGGAGGGACTTTTCTCTCAAAACAGCTGCTCTACAGAAAGAGAGGCCAAGCTGAGCTGGGGGCCTCCCTCTCCTCAGTGGGCGAAGTTTGTTCAGTGAAGTGGACGCCAGCAGTAGGACTTTTGATACTGACATTCGGAACTCAGAGAAATCATAGTAAACAGATGACTCATCACCTGCTGCTTCACCAGAGCCCGGGTCAAAGGCCTGATTTTAGAAAGGACCATCTGGCACGATAGCCGTTCTCAACAGGAACTGGAGAGCAGCCCCAAAGCAGAGATGTCTGCCCTTTTGTGCCAGTTCTCCAAGCTCCTGACAGGGTAATGTTCGTGTAAGGTTCACACACAAGCAAGGAAGCCACAAGATCACTGTGCTAATTCACCACCACGATCATGATTTTGCTTGGAACAGCATCCATCCCCTGCTGTCTTCCCTGTCTCGGTGTCCAGCCAAATCCTCTCTTCCCTTTTCCCTAGTTCTGGTTTCCGCCTCTGCAGGGCAGCCAGCCAGGGTGATGACTGCAGCTGAGGACTGCTCACACACCTCCTTGGTCTCCCACAGTTGTTTAGGCAGCGGCTTCGGAACATTTAGCAGACTCTCTTCTTTCAACAGACCGGGGAAAGACGGTACTAAAAGGAAGATGAAGCACATTCACTCAACTAAAATTAGAAGGCAGCCACCCCACTTTTGGCCAAATAAATTATCTTAGTTTACAACTGCTGGGGTGGAGTTGGGGGTTGCAAACCTGTAATCCCAGTACTCAGGAGGCAGAGGCAGAAGGATCTCTGTAATTGAGGTCAGCCTGGTCTACACAGGAAGTTCCAGGACAGCTAGGGCTGCACAGAAAGACCCTGGCTCAAAAGAAAAGAAAAAAGACGGGTCATGGTAACACACGCCTTTAACCCCAGTATTCAGGAGGCAGAGGCAGGCAGAGCTCTGTGTCCAAGGCCAGCCTGGTCCCTGATCTATAGAGTGAGTTGCAGGACAGCCAGGATTACTCAGAAAAACCTTGTCTTGAAACAAACAAAAAAGAAAGAAAAGAAAAAAAATTTTTAAAAATGGTTCTTAGCATTTAGAACCATTTAAAACCTGCTGTGCAGCTGAGGCTTACCTCAGACTTGCAGCCATCCTCCTGCCTTTGTCTCTCATGTGGTGGAGTTATAGGCATGTGCTACCCTGCCTAGTGAACACAATTTCTTTAGCAAATATTCATTTTTTAAACATACTCCTTTTTTCTTTAATTATTGTATTATTTTGTCTATATGGATGTGTATTTTGCCTATATGTGTCTGTGAATGCCAGTGCCCATTGAGGCTAGAAGAGGGCATCAGAAATAGTGACAGATGGTTGTGAGCCACCCTGTGGGAGCTAGGAATCGAACCCAGGTCTTCTGGCAGTGCTATTAATCACTGAGCCATCTCAAATATGTATTGACAGTCTCCTGGGAAATCTATAAACTAGCCAGGGGATGAAGGCAACACACTTATGATGGTCAATGAAACGGAAGGAAGCCCAGGAGAACACTACACCCTTGCTTCAGAGCGGAGCAGAGCTCCCTTCAGAGACAAAGCAAAGGGCATTCGGTGAGTAATAAGTAAAAGGCTCAGAGAACAAATGGTGGCTACCACCAGCCAGAGTGTTCCTTTTATTTGGACTATGGGCTAGATAAAGGAGAGCAATAGGAAGTAAAACGTGGAAGTCTAAGACCAGGTCAGGGTCCTGCAGCATGGGGGAAAAAAGATAAGGAAAAGCACACACACTAATCAAGAAAAGATGAAATGAAGACAGAAACAACAAATGAAGAGCAGGGTTGGGGAGACAGCTTGGTGGACAGAACACTTGCCCTGGAAGAGTGACGACCAGAGTTTAGATCCCCAGAACCCATGTAAAAGCCAGACAGGCATGGCAGCTGCCTATAATCCCCAGAGCACCAGGGGCAGAGACAGGGTCTCCTTGCTTTCTGAGCAAGCTGAGGAACTAGATTAGCTAAAATCAGAAAGTGCTGGATCCCGCACTTTCTCCTACCCCAGTAAATAAAATGGAGAGTAATCAAGGAAAAAACCCACCTCTGGGCTTTCACGTGAATGCTCATGTATGTGCAAGTGCCTCCCAAGGTGTCCACATACACGAACACGGGTGTACACACACACACACACACACACACACACACACACACACACACACACACACGGAGTTAGGAACAATGTATGGAAATCACAGTGGCAGTGAAGCTACTTGGTGAAGTGCTGGGACTGGAAATAAAGGACTGATAACCCACAAGGACTGCAGCTGGTGGGGTTCTAATGGGTTTTTAATGTAATAGAACAGTCTGGCTCTACTTGAAGGGACTGTCTTTGGCTATCTTGAGTTAACTCTCCCAGCCATAGCAATCAAAGTGAGAAAGTCGGCCGAGCCACAAACCAAGCGAAGGCTTTTTGTTCTCAGACACAGGCCAGGGGTCAAAGGCGACCTCTGAGGGACTGTGTGATATAATGTCAGGAAGACTATTCAACAGCAGACCTGGAGACTGCTCAGAGTGAGGGATGCTGCAGTGCTCTGGGGACGGCGTAGCTCCACTGTGACTGTTTTGCCTGTCCTGCCCTTGGCCCACACAAGATGAGTAATAGATCCCAGGAAGTCACTGAAAACTGAGATCAAAGCTAGGCACGCTGGCACAAGTCTGGAATCCCAGCATGTAGGAAGTAGAAGCAGAAGGAGCAGGAGGATCAGGGGTTCAATGCCAGCATGGGCTACATGATACCATATTCAAAGGACAAACAAATAGGAGCCAAAATTTCAAAATAAACTCAGAGAAAAGGATTTAAATTGAATACCTTTGTTTCTTTCCTTTCCTTTCCTTTTCTTTCTTTCTTTCTTTTTTTTTTTCAAGTTAATAAAACTTAGGAAATAATTACAGCTGTGGGCTCCCAGAATTAATTGCCAGTGGCTAGCACAGCACGATGCAGTGATCATCAACCCTCCAGCAGCAGTGCAACAGAAGCCATTTCTGGAGACAACGGGACTTCAGCAGGGTGCCTCGGTGCCTCTCAGTCCTGATGTTCAAACCACTCACTCTTTACTTTGTTTCCCTCTGTGTATTGCTAAGGCCTTGAAAAGCCCTACGTTCCCTCACTGAATCACCCTAGATGGATTACTCTCTTCTGAAGAGTGTATTCTGTCTATGCTCTTGCTGGCTCTCTTTTCTATTCATGGTTATAAATGCTGTAGGGATATAAGCCCCACAAGGCTCTTAGACTGTTCTGCTTCTGTGGTGCTTAACAGACAGTGCCTGGGACGTGCAGACCTACAGGACTCTCCACAGTGGGGAGACAGGAGCAATGGGCTTTGAGGGCCTTATGGTTCAAGACAAGAGGGAGAACAGGATAGCAATAGGCCCTGAAGGTTCTGCAGGAGGCCAAGCAAGGCAGCTTAAGAGCTGGGACACAGGACCGGGACTGGAACAGCTTCCTTCGAGGAATTGAGTGTTTGTAATTTCTTTCCATGGACAGCTTTATTGGGAATTCTTCACAAGATTAACTGTGGATGGCCCTGAAGCCATGTCTTCATTTCTGCCCTGAATGATCAGATGGGTCTGCTTCAAGTGTTTATGATTTTATTTAACACCTGAAATGGAGGTGCAGGGTGGTATCAGGGGGCTCTGCCGCTTAATGCAAGTGATCCTTCTCATCATGCTCTGTACAGCCCTGGTCTCTGTGACACAAACTGGCTACTCAGCTAATTCTGATTATGAAAATTACATCTCAGCTTATAAAACTCTAACAGTGCCACCTATTAAATGACTGAATGAACAGAGTAGGACCCCAACTATTGATATCTTTCAGTTTCATTTCAGCAGATCTCTAGCATGATTTTAACTGGCTTTTATGAACTCAGTGTCTTCTGCAAAATGCATAATTCTACCTTATAATAAATTTGTATCTTTTTTTTTTTTTACACAGGATCTCATGTATCCCAGGCAAGTCTCAAGCTCATTGTGAGACCAAGGCTACACCTATCCCTGAGCTTCTGGTCCTCCTGCCTCCATCTCCCAGGTGGAGGATTTAAGGAATATGCAATATGCCTGGTTTATATGTTGCTGGAGACTGAACTCTGGGTTGCATGCATGCATGCCGAGCAGTGTAGCATCTGAAGTATAGTCTTAGTGCTAACTTGCATGTTCCTTGCACTGTTATTTAAATCTATCAATTAGTCACAGTGACTTTCTAAATGGGCTGAGGCAGTGTTGAGAGAAGGCAGTGGAAAACTATTTAAGTACTTGATTAATTCACATTTTCATGTGGTTACAACTCTTGCTTCCTTGCACAACCTTGTGACTGTGGTGCTGAGGGGACTTGGGTAACAAGGGACCATTGTAGTCTAGTCACACATTTCCTCTCTCATGGCTTTGATCATGTCTAGCTAATTTTCTTAGAGCAACTCAGATAAGTCATCTAGGCAACAGTTGTCAGCCTTCACATAAATATGATTGTCAATCCCAACGCCTGCTCATACCTTCCCCATGGCCATCGTTTTCTCCATCACAGAAACCTGGTAGAAAAGAGAGAGGGGGGGGGGAAACAAACACTTTTATATGTGGGGTTCTCATTTACTCATGCATTAGAATGACTTTCTGATGTGAAATATAACTTTTGAAAAGTCTAATGCAGTTTTAACAAAGCTTAATCTTAGCTTTCACACTACAAACAGATGCAGTTATTCCAAGTCTAGAGCTGGTGTCCAAGTGTTTTTCCTTTAAAAGTATCTTAGTCTTAAATGTCCTTGCTGACTCTGTCTCAAGAGAACAGTGGATGGCAGCCTGAGAACCTGTCTTCAAAATACAAAACAAAACAGTTTGTTCTGTCACACTTCCAAATAAGTCATCCCAGGGAGGGTAGGTAACTTGGAGTCCCTGTCACTGTTCTGACACTTCCATGGGTGGAAGTTCCATGATGGGCACTGGCATACTCTGGATTCTTATACAAGTTGTTTTAAAAAGTACGTATCTGGAGTCTAAGCCAAGGCAAGGGCATATGTGATAACTATTCAAAGAGTGTAATCAATCCTGACTGAATGAAGAACACCTAGCCTATGAATATACCGCACATGACTGACTAAAACTAAAAAGCTTCATCCCCAACATGGACTAGCTAAGCATTCTCCTCAGTGTAATCAATTACACCAATGAGTGCTCATCATATACTTGGGATAAAATTTGAAGTCCAAGCCTTTAAATACATCTCAGCTTAGGTAAGTTTCTAGATGAAACGGTTAAACTATAAATTAACCCAACTAGTCTATAAAACTTAAACACCTACTAATCATTCATTCAACAGGTACTTGCTCAGTTCCTTCAGTGTGTGTTAGAGGATGGGGGCAGGTGATGCAGGGCAGACAGGAAGAGGCAGAGCTATGGAGTCTTAGGGGCACAAGGACATTAAGCATTTCCAAGGGTGTCAAGAGCTCCTTAATTAAGCATACTCATAAAATGCAGGCTTTCTCCCAGGTCCCAGAAAACAGAATCTAAGTTAGTGATTGAAAACAGTTTTAGTGCACCTACATCCTACAGTACTTTTTTTTTTTTCTTTTTGGTCTTTTAAAACAAGGTTATTCTGGCTGCCCTGGAACCTCTCTGTAGACCAGGTTGGCCTCGAACTCACAAAGTTCTGCCTGCCTCTGCTGGGATTAAAGGTGTGTACCACTACTGCCAGGCCACTAGGGTAAATTTGTTAAGAAGAGGATTCTTAGACCCAACCTTTAAAGATGTTGATGCAGAAGGTGTGTGAATTACATGTCACTCACCACTCACTCGACAGCACTCCACAGGAGAGTGCTTGCCTACTATGCTGAGGCCATGCATTTGAGCGCAGCACCACCAAGCAAGCACAGTCAAAAGTAGAAAAAAGGAAACTGGCCAAGCTGCACAGAGCTGGACGGAGTGGCTGCTTCTTCAGTCTGTGACTTAGCACTCTAGGGAAAGACTGTGTGGACAGGAGGACATCAGAAAATGCAGTGCAGAGGGACAAAGGCAAAGCTCCAGGGTCAGCGCTGACAGGAGGAGGGGACAAAAGCTTCTTATTCAAATTGTGGCTTTTTGAGAAAGGGCAGGGAACCTGACCACTCTGATCACCAAAATGTGAGTATCCTATTAAAAAACGACAAATGACATTTTATGAAATGGTCTGTTATGGTACATTGAAGAAGACACCCTAAGTTTAATTACTAAAGCTGACCAGTCCCTACAACATGAAGAGCTACCCAGGAGTCACCGTGTGAGTCTCAGGGGTGAGCAGATTCCCTGTGTGGTATCCTGCTAGTTCCAGCCTCATCCCTAGACTGGCACAGAAGGCAGGTTTCACCCCTAGTTAGGCAGTAAGGAGCAGGGAGGGAGGTAACACTTGCCTCGTGCCAGGCACCTCACAGTGATCTCATGTAATCATTGGAGCAACTGTACAAGGCATGAATGAGCTCACACTGCCAGTTCCGGGACTAGGACTCTGGGCACGATACCTTCAGAAAGTCCATGTCCCCAGCCAATGTGCTGTGCCTGGAGCTGAAATTCAGGCAAGTGGAAGTAAGGATAAAGGTCTGCCTCGGTGAAAACAAGAGGAGTAAGAAGTAAGGAAAAGGGAAGGAGAAGAGGAAGACACACAGCGCTGCAGGGAATGGTGAGGTCTGGCTATGCACAAGCCGGGAGGAATGAGAGACTTGCCTGGTGGAAGGAGTCTGCTAGCCTTCCGGATGAGGTGGAGTACAGAGGCTTGGGTTAGTAATAAATCTCAACATGAGATGCTTTAAGACAGCTTCAAGGCCAGGGCACCAGACAGAAAACCAATGGGCTGGACAAGAAGCCGTAAAGTAGGGTACTTGGCAGTGAAGAGCAAAAATACAAGGCACACTACAGGGAGAGCAAGAGCACAGCTTGTCTAGTGTGGGGTGAAGGGTACGGGAGTAAGAGATTAAATATCATTCTCAAGTGTTCCGCTTAAGTGACAGCCATGCCTGACAAATGTATTCGAAATTAACATGCCATAAAATAGCTAAATCCAGATCTCTACTGCTAGTACTACTATTGCTACTACATACCAACGTGCACACACAAACTACCAAAGGGTATGACTATAACATAAGGGGCACAAACAAAAAGCAGGGAATTATGACTAGGAATCTAGTAAAAGAGGAAATTAATTCACTACAGCCCCACAGGGGGACAGGACAGCAAGGACCAAGGTCACATCTGTGTTGCAGGAAACCTGCAGCCTTGGAGCTCCAGAGGTTGATCTAACTGGGAACATCTGAGACCATGTTCTTTTTATGTGCTCCCCTCATGTCTGGCAAGTCTACAGAATGCCTCACAGTCTTCGTGTGAGGTAGGAATACAAGGTGTAGCTGTTGTAGCCACAGTGACTCCTAAGAGAAGTTTCTAGAATTTTAGCTTTCCCATCTGGGCCTTCCTGCCACCCTGATGACACTTTTGTTTTAGTTTTGCTTTATATTTTATTTTCTTCTCTCTCCCTCCCCTTCTCTCTTGCTAATATGAACCGTGATGTGTGTGCATGTGGAGGTCAGAAGACACCCTTAGGTGTTGGTCCTCAGCTGCCACTTTCTTTGGGTCAGGGTCTCCTCTCTTCTGCTGCTTCATACTCTAGGCTATCTGGCCCAGGAACTTCTGGGGGTTCTGCTGCCTGCGCTTCCCACAGAAGTACTCAGACTACAGGTGCACACTACATGTAGTTTTACGTGGATTCTGGGGATCCAATATAGGTTCTCAGGTTTGCATGGCAAGTATTTCACCAGCTGAGGTGACTCTTTGTATCACCAGCAGGCTTAGCTCTCTTATGGTTACTTGACTTTAAACCGCCTGTTGAAGGGTCATTGAGATACAGATCACATCTCTACCCCTCAGAGGAGACTTAAGGGACTACAGTCCTCAGAGATGGTGGTTTGTAGTTACAGTCTTCACTCTCTGCCCTTAGCTCCTAGCCTGCTCCCTGAAGAACAAGGGCTACTTTAGCTCTTTATACACACTACTATGAAGGAGAACAGTTTGGAGATAGATACACCAGGCTGTGGAACAGGGCAAGTGTCGCAGAGAGCCACTGTGCTGATCCATCCACATGAATATATGAAATGGGAATTAAACTGCACATGCTACCAGGGAAATGGGTAATTAAACAAGATAATTTATTGAAGAACCCCATTTGGTTGTATAAAAGTTTACCTCTGTCACTTACAACTTTGTATCATTTATGTCTAACTGTCATATAACCCAATAACCATTATGGAAAGTATCAACCATGTAGGCTAACAGCTTTGCTTCCTGGGGGATACAAACTGAGCTGGCAAATGGATCATATACTTGATAGCTTGTGTAGCTAGACTATAAGTGGGCACTCCCTCATCATCTGCTTCCAGTAACAACAACAACCACGATGACCGGCTTCTATCACTATGTACTGCAAAGATTCCCAGGAAGGGGCCATTGTTACTGTCCCTACTACTGAATCTAGGTCTGGGCTTTGGTCATATTTTCCCATCACTTTGAAACTCTTTACTTTATTTGGTGGGTCCTATAAAAAGAAATACTTTTTTTTTTTTTTTTTTTTTTTTTTTTGTGAAGCTAGTTGTTATTTTTAAAGTCCAAAAGGAAAGAAAATGAAAAACTTTAATGAATTACAGGGGGAAAATACATAAAACCCTTTAAAATAGCTCCCACCAACAAATATAATTCTCCAGAAATAATTCCCATCCTTGGAGACTTGAATAATATTTTAAACACACTGGCTTTCCCATGTAAACACATCCATATTTGGATGTGTTTCTGAGTTCTGTGATACTTGAAGGCGACTGCAGAAGCAGGCACAGTGCAGACATCCATGCTGGGCAGTGGCCCACCTTCTCTAGTTGGCCGATACTGTGGGCCCACGATTTCCAACACTGAACCCAGGAGCCCTGTCCAGGACTTGCTCCTCCCTCTCCCTTCCTCACGGTCAGTGTCTGACTTGCTCCGCCTCTCGTCCTCAGCCTCACACCTGCTGACAGCTCTTACTTCTTCCTCAGAGACCATGTTACTCTTAGAATAAATATTCAATCTCATTTCTTCAGTTACTCACTTTCTCTTTACATGGGAGCTCAAATGCTCCTTAAATTACCAATGGGTCCCTTGTCCTGTCTAGGCCTTTAGTCCCTTCTGGAAAAAGGGTAATCTCAGCACAGAGGGCAACACCAAGGCAGGGACCCAGGGCTGCAGGGAAGAACATGCGAGGCTGGCTGGCGCCCAGCCAGGGTGACAGATACCTTGCTGTGTGCACAGGCACCCCACTGGTTAGTCTCTGCTTCTTAAGGCTTTGTTTATACACACCCATCTCTACCTACCCTGAAGCCAACTCCTGTAACTTCCCACATACCCCACTTCTCTAAGCACTGTTCAGTGACCCATATCCAATTCCAACTTCCCTGCCAACTTCACTCTCATATTCCCATGTGTGGAAATACAGCACATTGTCCCTGAACAATTCCAAAGCTCTCAGGCTTTACAAAGCTTCATTTCAGCAAACGAAATGCACCAAGGGGACAAATATAGTAACAATTACTACCAAATCCCATCCTTACTGCAAGCAAGGAAATAAGACCATGACTGGCTCTCCTAGGAAGGAACAGACTTTTAGGCTTTAAATAAACCAGTACTGTAAAGAAAACCGGAAGAGTTAGTATCTAGGCCAGTCCTTACATTCAAAGTCAATCTGTATATGGAACAGACGAGTCAAGCCTGTGTTCTTTCTAGATTAGAAGGCCCAGACAGACATGCTTGGGAAGTATCCAAATGAAGCATCCTCACCTTGGGTGCAGGTTAGATGTGAGCACCTGGAGAGAGTTTTAGGGAGCGCTCAGTACTGTGTGACTTTTTTCACACTTCTCCAGCAGTAACTGTGTCTGTGTACCGAGCACTGTGTCAGGTGCTGGCTCAGACAAGACTTGTAAGAATAGAGCCTTCAAGAAATTCACCCTAAGCAGGGGAGAGAAGCATTCTACAGGAAGCAGCAGTGGTCACAGTGCCTGCATGTAGGAGCTTGGGACAGTGGAGGATACGGGCAGCTCGGGACCAGCAGAGGGGACGGTCACAAAAGGCTCAACAACAGTGCAGATACAGCTGAGGCTTTCACACCGAGGAAGTGGCGGCTGGGCAGGGGAGGAAGACATGGGGGCAGGATGAACAGCAGGAGGACGCAGTGAGTTCCCATGTCACTCCAGAAGGTCTTGAAGGGAAGTGTACTGATGGTTTTTGACAGAAGAGGTGGTTTGAGTCTGCCCTTTCTCAGTTCCAGGCCTTTCTCTGGCCCACAGGGAGAAAACCAATGTTCTGAGCAGAAGGGGAGACCAAAGAGCAAATGACAACAGGCACTCACCTTCCATTCTACTGCCCTTCCCTTCCTACAGAAAGCTCTTCTCCTCGGCTGCCCCTGGCCCTGGTCTTGTTTAACTCCCCCCCCCCCCCATAGCAACTGTCTGTGCCAGCTCTGCTAGCCCCTGGGAGGGTTTTTGCCTCATCCTGAGGTTCAACTGTACAAGGTCCATGGACCCACAAAGTGAAGAAGCCACTTCCTCCAACCTAGTCGTATCAGTAACAAAAGAAAGCTTTGGAGAACCCAGTAAAATCAGACTGCAAGGATGTAAGCTAGGACAAAGACCATCAAGGATGCTACTGCCAGAGCCCGTGTAAGAGATGATCAGTGTCTAGAAAGGGGTTTTTGCTGCAGGGAAGAGGAAGCTCAAGAGCCAAGAGTTGCCAACAGGGAAGCAGAAGCCATGGAAGAAGCAAGCAAGCGAAGCGTTCTACCTGCATCATGAACATACACACTTCCCCTGCTGGGAGCTTTTCTCTGAAGACCACCCAACTGGGGAAGGGCATGCACCATGTATGCTTTTCTCTCTCAGTTCTTACAGTGCAGGGGAAAGCACAGATGCTGTAAGCAGGGGCCTGTGTCTTACCCATGTACGGGGCAGGCCAGGGTGACTGGCCGCCTCCTCCATAGGGGTCCTGGGGCTTGGTGCTCAGAGCACTTGTGTGAAGAGCAGAGTCAGAATTGGTCCTAAGGGGGGGGGGGAGGAGAGAGTCTGGCTGAAAATCCATTTTTTTTTTCCCTCAGTGAAATGCAGGTTGGTTTTTTTTCCTGAATATTACCAGCAGGAGAGAATAATTGACTTTCAAACATCCATTCAATGAAGGATTAGGACCTACCTGCAGTCCTGTATACCAAGGAGGCACCCGAGGACCACTATATGTTCAAAAGAGTTTAGTTTGTGCTTGCATAGCCTTGCACTATGAAGCTAATGGCACAGTGAACTATTTCAGCATGGCCAGCCTCAGATTCACAGCTTCCCTAAGACCATTCCTTTGCTCTCTGCATCTCGAAAGGTGGTCTGTGGCCAGCCAAATCTGGGCTGTACTAGGCTTCCTAAGAATTCCTGAGCCTATGTGGAAGAGCGCCCGAAAGAGTGGTTCTTAAGCCTTTTCTGTGGGAATGTGGGGTAGGAATACTACTCTTGCCTCTTTTCTTCAATCTCACCCTCTGATGCACAGCACAGGACTTTCCAGCAGTTGTGAAATATGTCATGGCACAAGAGACTCAACATAGATACTGATCACTGCTGCAGGAGATACAATAATGCAACTATTCTCTGTACATTTTGTTTTAGAAAATGCTATTGTGTTATCTTTTTTAAGGTATTATTTGTGTTGGCATGTACTAGGTTTATTGCTCAAATGCACCAAAGGGGACATTTCACATCTCTCAGTCAGCCCTCTGCCAGCAGCAGCTGAGTATCGATGGGTACACGCACACAGAGAAGTGTTCTTTCGGGGCTTCAGGGTTTTTTGTTTTGTTTTAAGCAGTGTAAAATGGTCCTAGACAAAAAGTCTGGGACCTGTTGACCAACAGCAAGCATTTCAAATGCTCTCCCATAGTCCTAGTGTATGCACAACTTCAGTCCAGAAGGTGACAACAATTTACTGATCCCATCCAAAGGTCAAACTGTTTGCCATAAAGGGGGCACATGAGCAACTTCAAGTCAGCCTAAAGTGCTTCTGCATGCTCTGCTCCAGGCAATAGCTTCATGTGACTTAAGCCACGTGGCTTCAGAGGAGGGGAAAACTCTTGGGATGCTGCAGGAACAGTGTGTGCCCTGAGGGCTCCTGGCTCCTTCAGAGTCACAGAAACCCAGAAAACATCAGTAGGACACAGAGAAATGATAAGGAAAATGGGAATGTCGACTGGCTATTGGACCATGGAGAGAAAATTGTGGTTAATTTTGTTAATCACAGTGCAGTTATTATTTTTAAGCCTCTCACTGGCCTTTTACTGTTAGGGTATTCACAGGTGAAAAGCTTCTTCTAGCTGGTCATGGAATGACGTATGAAGGAGGAAAGAGAGGAAATGAGACTGGCAGAATGCCGGTCAAGACGGAAACACTTAGAATGGGCACAGGGACTCTACAATTACTTCTCCTGCATATATAGATTAAGTTTACACCACTAAAAGATTTTTAATCTTTCAATTATTTTCCAAGGTTCAGCTCCATAGCCCATATTGGTTTTTAATCTCCAGTTCCTCCTGCCTCTCAGCTTCTGGAGTGCTGCGATTACAGCCTGAGCCACCATGCCCAATTCAAATTCCAGTCCCCTTTGCATATTAGCTAGTCATTTTTCCACCATGTACTGTGCCTCCATGTAGCATCCTATTTAATCCTCTCAGCCAATCCCATCATGGGTACAATTACCAGCACCATGTTCATATGTGCAAACTAAGGCAGGCAGAAATTTTAGTCTGCCCAGGATCACGTGGTCAGAGGCAAACCTTGGGGGCTCCCTCCAGATTTCATGTTCTCATCTCACCACCTCCTACACTCAATAGCTGTTTGTTTTGTTTTGTTTTTCCCATAAACACAGCTGGTATAAATAAACTGGGCAGCAAGATAACATGTAGAGACTACCTGGCCAAACCCGTCATCTCTTTCTTGAAAATGTACTTCTACTACAAAACAACCCACATACCTATTAAGTGCAGATGTCAGCCTGAATCCAGGATGCTTTTCTTCTTTCCAAGGAGGCTGTTGCCTTTAGAAACCAGAACGACATAAAAAGGTAAGATGCTTAAGCTATAGGACCAAAGAGCACTTGACAGCTGGCTCTTCTAACCTAGCCATACAGCCATGAGTTACCTAAAACACTCAGGCCTCTGCTCATCACTGTGGAGAGGAGGCCAGACTGTGTGAGCTCTCAGGAGCCAGCAGCTCTGATGTCCAGGATAATGACTGCAAATCCATAGTGCAGCACCATCCAGCTGGGCACACTTGATGCTGGCTAGAACTGGTCAAAGGAATAATGACCCCTTCTCTAAGGGACAGTAGATCTTATTCCAGTGTACAGTCACTCCTCATCTTGTACCTGGAGTGCGGGCCTGGCAATCCTGGATGTGAACATTTTGCTCTCTCATGTGGAAGGCCATGAGTGCAATATACTTGCTCACCATTCTGTGAAAATATTCACTTGACCAATCCGAGGCTCTGAGAAGCAAAGGACACTTCTGGGATACAGGGACGAAGCACATCCCATTGGAGATCTGCATTTTCTGACTTAAAAATACAGTACTGTATTATCTTACAAACTGAAACTCAGGACTGCTGAGGAGGCTGAAAACCTGCTTGAGGTTTGGCCAGTGTTGGCCATCTTGACCTCCTTTCTCAGATCCACACTACGTTATCCACGATAAGGGCTCAGTCAGTATTTGCCCAAAGAACCAATGAGGAAAGAGTCAAAATTGAGGCTAAGAAAGCCACCCCCCCTTTTTTCCAATGTCTTATTTTTTTGAGACAGGGTCTCACACTGTATCCTAGGCTGACCTTGAACTCACAGCAATCCTCCTGCTTCAGCCTCCCAAGTTCTGGGATTCTGTGGGCCACCACTCCTGGCAACACATACATTTTAAGAATCTCTTATGTCTGACATGGAGGTGTAAAGTAATGCCACATATACAACAGAGAGAGGCAGCCCTCCTTCTGTCAATGTTACGATGGGGTCACCATTATATCAGACACAAAACATACTCACAGACTCTAAATCAAATTCACCACATACATTTTTAAGTTAGGAGTCTTTCACTTCTTTCAGTAACCAACTAAGAAATGCCAGAGAAGGAATTTACTTTTTTATGCCTATCTTAAGACTGCCAAATCAGACATTTTGTTGGCAAATGGTTTCCCATGTATTTCTATTTGAACCTAGAGTTGCTTAAGTAATTTTTATTCTCTATTTTCTTACAAGCTCGGACAGGCTGAGGTTTTTTGATGTTGCTGTGATCTGAGATGGGTTCTCGTTTCATAGCTTAGGCTACCTGGAGTTCACTGTGCCACACAGGCTAGGCTCACACTTGTGGTTCTCCAGGTTCTAAGGTGTTGGGATTGCAGGCATGTGCCACTACATCCAGCTCCAGACTTAGTTTATAAGATAAAACAAAATTTGGTGTTAAAAGTTTCTAGCTAGGCCAGGCATTTGGGAGGCAGAAGCAGAAGTAAAATTCAAGGCTAGCCTGATCTACAGAGCAAGTGCCAGAATAGCCTGGACTACATAAAGACCCTTTCTCAAAAAAAAAAAAAAAAAAAAATCACTGCGGAACAAGTCTCCAATCCCAGCATTGGAAAGGCAGAGCGGGAGGATCAGGAGTTCAAAGTTATCCTTGGCTATATCACAAGTTGCAGGCCAGTCTGAGCAACAAGAGACCCTGACTCAAATATCAAAACAAAAACAGAAACAAAAAACAAAAAACCTAAAATTATAAATAAGTCTAAAACAGCATTCAAGATGGTTAAAATAGTTAAACTATCTTAAAAAGAAGCTCTCTCCTATCTGTTAAAATATGTCTATAAAACAAAAACAAACAAAACAAAAAAACCCAACACACTTCTACATAGCTCTCTTACCTTGGCCAGCTCTCATCCAGGGGCTGCGAAGAGTAACTGGCTGCAAAAGCATTTCCATCGAAGTAGAATTTTTAATTAAGGGAAACGAGATTTATGGGGAGTTGCATCGGGATCAGGAAACTGAAACAGGAGGTTAGGCCACGGAGTCTTCCACACCCGACGGGGCACCCTCCACACATTCTCATGGGCTCCATGTCTCCACCCTCTAACCAGTGTCCTCACCAGACTCGTGCAGAATTTTCTTTCTTTTTGTGTTGTGTGTGTGCAGGTGTGTGTCTGTGGAGTCAGAAGCTATCCATCTACCTTGTTTTTTGTTGTTGTTTGTTCTTGTACTTTCGTTTGTTTGTCTTTTGAGACAGGTCTCTTATATAGTCCTGGTGCTCTAGAACTTGCTATGTAGACCAAAATGACCTTGAAGTTCTGCCTCTGCCTACCGAGAGCTAAGATAAAAGGCTTGCACCTCCATGCCTGGTTCCTTGTTTGTTGAGACAGAGCTTCTCTTTGGCCTGCAGCTTGCTGAGTAGAGAAGGCTGACTGGCCAGCCCCAGGGATCTGCCTGTCTCTGCCTGCCCAGCATTCTGATTTTAAGTGTGTGCCACCACGTCCTATTTTGTCACATGAGTTCTGGGGAGTAACTCAGGTCCTCAAGTTTGCATGGTGCACAGAGCCTTCTTCCCCCCACTGTGCATGAGAACATGCATGCGTGCATATGTGTGTCTCCTGCGCAACACCTGTCTTCAGGAACTTCATCACTTACACTACAAATACTATGCAGGCCTCACTTTCTCATGGGATGGATGGACTCAGGGCCAGTTAGTTTTAGTCAAGGTATTATCACATTCTCCTGCAAACAGAAATTGATTCTGGGATAGGCTCAAGATACACATAGGACCAAGGAGAGTACTTTCTAGTACAGGTGGCTCCTCATGCAGAATGCTTGTCTATCAAGAAGTCAACACCACAGAGATAGCATTAATGATATCATATGGCTTCCTGGTCATAGCCCTTGGGTTTCCAGTGACATAAGCCAATATACTCCCTTTTTCCCCAGGAGGCTGAGGCAGGAACATAGCAAGTTTGAGTCCAGAGTTGGCAATTTAGTGAGACCCTCTCTCAAACAAAGTGAAAGTAAGAAGTCATGGAAGAACACGTATCTCGCATATATGAGCCCTGGGGTTCAATCTCCAGTGCTGGGGGGAGATGTGCTTCCTTTTTGAGTTTGTTTTTGGGAGGCTTAGTTTTTGAGACAAACTCTTACCAAATAGTCTAGGTTGGCCTAGAACTTATCATGTAGCCTAGGCTTGCCTCAGACTTAAAGCAATCCTTCCATTTCAGCCTCATGAGTGCTGAGATTATAGACATGTACACGTATACCTATCTTAAAATTTTTTCCTTTTCCAAATTAAGGCGAGTTCATATTACTTCTAAATCAAAACAGAATGGTATTAGACTTGAAGTGGACATAATTTCTGGTGTAAAAGGCATTGTTTTCTAGGTTCTGTGTTGCTTATTGGGTCTGGCACATCTAAAGTCCCACCCCAAATACATGGAGAGACAGATGGGTTGCTTACTATGCATGCTGAGTACAGCAGAGCTGCTAGTGCTGATTTGGTGAATTGCACTAAAGGACTATTTTAAATAATATTATTTTTCTTCTCTAAAAAAATTGAAAAGCTGGGTGTGGTGGCACACGCCTTTGATTACAGCACACTGGAATTTGGAGGCAGACTTATTTCTCTGAGTTCAAGGCTAGCCTAGTCTACACAGACTAGCCTGGTCTACACAGTAAAGTCCAGGCCAGTCAAGACTACACAATGAGACCTTGTCTCAAAAAGAAATAAAATTAATTAATTTAAGAAGGGGGTTGGAGAAATGGCTAAACAGTTCCAGATCCAAGGGATCCAATGTCTCTGGTCCCCTCAGGAAATCTGTACTCATGTGCACATGTCCCTACCCCATGCACATGTAATTAAATATAATAAAAAGGCTTCACAGGTGATAATGGTGTCAATCCACAATGTGGCTGCAGGGCCACTCTGGTCTGGGCTCCACCACCACATGCTTACTCCTCTGCCTCTGCTGGCGTAAGGCCCCTCTCCTGTCCTCTTTGGTGGACACAGCCCTCCTTAAAGATCTGGTTCGCTTCTCACCACATCACCAAACCCACTCTTTTGGTCTCTTATGTCCCTGGCTGGATCAAATGCACACTTAACAATCTCCAATACTGCTTTTGACTTCAAATCTTTATTTCTTATATGTAAGGGACAAATAGTATTGAATATGCAAGGTAAACCTTAAAGTATCAGAGAGAGGAAAATGGGGGCAATAAGTACGTACTACATTCTAGGCTTGTATTAAGCAAGTTCATGCTCCCCTATTGTGTGTATGGGTGGGTGTATGTGTAGGGGTGAGAGATGAGAGAGAGAGAGAGAGAGAGAGAGAGAGAGAGAGAGAGAGAGAGAGAGAGGGTTTCACTGTGTAGCCCTGGCTGTCCTGGAACTCTCTCTGTAGACCAGGCTGGTCTCAAACTCAGAGATCCACCTGCCTCTGCCTCCCGAGTGCTGGGATTAAAGGCAAGCGCCACCACTGCCTGGCTTGCAGCTCCCCTATAATCTTAACTGTCCTAGGAGGCAGATGACATGATCACCATTTTGCAGCTGAAGAAACAGAAGCTCAGCCCCAGAGGAGCTGAGAGACCCACAATTCCACAGCTGGCATGGCAGGCTGGGGTCAAACCTACCACTCAGTAACCCCAAAGCTTCAGACTGTCAAGCCATATGACCTCTTGGGAGGTGGTGAACTGTCACCATGGGCCCCAGAAAAGAGAAAACAAATACTTGGGGTATTCTCGGAAGAAGATGTAGCCTAGATAGGAAAGTATCACCTGCATGGGCTCAGGAGAAGATGGGGTGGAGACCTGCCATTGGAGGCCCAGGCTACACATTTAAAGTGAACACAAAATATGGAGTTAGAGAAATGTGGGTATTAATGGGATCTTAATGATTTCCTTTGCCAAGAAATGCATTATGACTGCTAAGTTTGTCTTCCAGAAACTTGTTTTCTTTGTCATGTCTCATTACCTTATCTCTTACTCTGCCTCAGAGCCAACACAATGAAACAAATATATATTCCACAGACATCTTTCTTCAACCTGATTAGGCTCAGTGTCTATGAAGTTCAGGGGAGCTCCCTTCCAGGAGAGTAAGAGGTCCCAGGAAACATGAGTGTATCAATGTTGGAGTTGGCAAAGCCTATCGGGAGGAAACCCTGAGTTTCACAGCCTGTGCTTATCTCTGCCTTTCTTTCTTCTGAAAGATTAGAAGAGTCTCTGCTCACAGAAGTTCAGTTCATAAAGCAGATGTCTAGCATGGTTTTTCAAGTACACTGCCATCCTTAAAATCATTAAGTCCCATTAGGGCATGGTGACACACACCTTTAGTCTCAGCACTCAGAAGGCAGAAGCAGACAGATCTCTGTGAGTTCAAGGCCAACCTGGTCTACACAGTGAGTTCCAGGACAGCCAGGGCTATTTAGGGAGACCTTGTCTCAGGAAAAAAAAAAAAAGCATCCATTACAAAGTATTGGCCATTCAAGTTAGAATGTGGTGGTACAATAACACAATGATCAAATATTGAGGTATAGTGAGCTTGCATTTTAACCTGCTTAATAAGCACTTAGAACATGAAAATGTAGTAAATCCTGGCTGTTCTCCATGTGACTAGGCAGAGGTAAAAGAAGCTAGAAGATATGACATATGGGCTCTCTGCCTTACTTCTCATCTAATTTGGTGGATAGCTAAAAATCCAAGAAGCACAGCCCTCATTGATAGATTATCTAACCTTGCTGACTGCAGGGACTCAGGGAGGAAGGATGCCGGTGTGACTTTGAGCTCAGCAAGACTGGGCATGGAAAGTGAAAAAGTCAGGCTTCTCTAATATTTGGGTCCTTCCCACAGTCTATGCTTTATCTTTATTGCTACTCTATTTTCTCTTGTTCCCTGATTTCTATTTCCTTTCCTTTTCTTTCTTTTTTTCTCTCATCCTAAGACAAAGTCTCATTCTAGACAAACTGGTCTTGAATTCAATGGATAGCTCAGGCTGGCCTAGAACTGCAATCATTCTATCTCAGCTTCTTGAGCGCTGGAACTGCATTTTCCAGCCACCATGTTCAGTCCAAACACGCTCCTATAAAAAGAATGGATCAAGTCAAAAACTTTTAACTTATTAGCCCATGTGTGTATGTGCATGATGGGGCAGGGCACCAATGCCAAGGCACACTGGTAACTTAATGGAGTAAATTCTCTGTCTATCTTTGTTCTTGGGGAGAAACTCTGGTTGCTAAGCATGCATGGCAAGCCCCTTTAGCTGCTGGACCATCTTGCCAGCCCTCAAGTCAAATCTTAAAAGAAATGTATGAGCTCTTTCTAAGTCTTGCAGATTTAAGAGGGAAGCAGGCTACATGCGACATCATGAAGTCAGGATTGTTCTACCTTAGAACTCTAAGGTCCAGTGTTTCTCTGCCTTCTGATAGGAATGTTGGGATTGGGGTTTGAAGTCACATAGGTTTTGAAAACTCATAAAGATATTTTTTGTTATTGTTGTTTTTGTTTTTTTGTCTTTTTTTGTTTGTTTGTTTGTTTTGGTTTTGGTTTTTCAAGACAGGGTTTCTCTGTATTGCTTTGGAGCCTGTCCTGGAACTAGCTTTGTAGACCAGGCCTGCCTCTGCCTCCTGAGTGCTGACTAAAGGCGTGTACCACCAATGCCTGGCAAGATAGACATTTATTAACTCCACAAAGTTTCTAGGAACCTACTATGTACCATGAAACTCCAAGAGCAGGTTTTGAGCATGGGGGGAGGGGGAAGAGAGACTTAACAGGCTTTGAATCTCAAAGAACAATGTCCCATGTCCTAAAATTTCCATCTTATTGTGATAAATAAGTCAAGGCCATTGCAGAGGAGGAAGGGTCCTGTCAGGCCCTCAGCTTGTGTTTCAGGACTGCTCAGGCCAGGGTCTTGGCTCTGCTGGGGCTTTTCTAAACACTTGTTTTCTTCCTTTCACAACAATATACCTCTCTTAGAAGATGACATTTTCTAGAAAATAGTCCAGAAGTTCAACAAAATGGTATTTGGGATGGAGCAAGTTTACTATCAATGAGGTGTGTGTGTGTGGGGGGGGGGGGGATGCTAAAGGCATGGCATACTGCTGCAAAAAGGTGTAATTTCCTAGACTGACCACTCCAGGCCAAAAATAGCCTTTGTGGTGCCTCTACTTTGCCTGCAAGTATCAGGGGTCAGCAGGTCTTGCTGTGACAAAGTTCTGGCCTTGTGGCAGCCATGCCTACTGCAGAAGGAGCGTCCTGTGCCTGAGCCCTTTGGATGGGGGCTGCCCACTCGAGGAGGAAGCTGGAGTATTTGCTGAACAATGTTCATTTTATCTGTGACCATTGTAGTCCTGAACCAAACATTTGTTAGCAGAAGTGTCCACCCTAAAACAATACCATGCTAAAATCAACTACAATAAAAGAATTCTGAGTACACCTTTTTTTCTGTTTGTATAAACAAAGATTCAAACCAATTTCTGGCTTTTAAAATGATAAAAACTCAGGGCTGAGAGATGGCTCAGAGGCTAAGAGCACTGGCTGATCTTTCAGAGAATCTGAGTTTGGTTTCTAGCATCCACATGGTGGCTCACAACTGACTGTGACTACAGGAAATCTCACGTCTTCCTCTGGCTTCAATAGGCACCAGACACATACATGTGCACAGGCAAATATACATATACATAAAAGACAGTTTTAAACTTAGACAAATGTGAAACACAAGATTTTAAAGTGAGTTGAGTTACTTCACAGCCAACAGAACGCCAGCAGGGAAAACAAAGACAGGCTTCAGGTGTCTCCCTCCAAAGTCCGAGTCAGTAACCACCTGAGATGTAAAATCATACTGTTTTTCACTTGATGCTCACAGTTTTGTTTTTGTTTTTGTTTTTTTTTTTTTTAACCCCATCAAACAGGACTCAATAGTTCATTGGTGGACACCCTTAGGCTAACAAACTTTCTCTACATCAGCAGATATCCAGGCCCAGAATCTAAATTAGGGGCTTAGAAGGCCACCACAGAGAATGGCTTCATGAATCTACGCTTAATGAATGGACAGCACACCTGCTTCTTCTTAACCGTCAAGCCTCAATCTCCTTTCCTTTTTCTTTTCCTTCTTTTTGCTCCTCTCCCCACCCCTCTCCTTCTTTTTACTCCTTTTCCTCTCTTCCCCTCCTCTCTCTTTCTTTCATGCTAAGAACTGAACCCAGGTCTTGCTTTACATAAGCTAGGTTCCCTGCCATAGAGCCACACTAGCAGGAAAAAACATTTTTTTTTTCTTGAACCCCAAACCTTGACAACATTAGGCAAGTACATTCTACCACTGAGCTATACTCTCCTACCCAAGTATTGTAAACCGGGCAGAGAAACGGTAGGTCTTTTGCTAGAGAATTCCAAGCAGTTTGGACAATTGCTTGGTGTGCTACTCACATGTGCTAGTTAGATAAATTGTGTTTCCCTTTTGCTTTCTGCATTCTATGTAAAGTCATCCCACATTCCAAGGAGGAATTCTCAGGATTGTCTGTCATTTTCATTTTTCCCTGACAGCATCATATAATAGACAAGACTAGAAGTCACTACATCTTGTGAATCAAATCTGGTGTGTCTGGAGAGCAGATGGGAAGACTCATGTTCCTGGCCAGGATCACTGTCCTCACTTCTTAATAGAGTAAAAGCCCAAGGGGCCCTGAAGACAAGAAAAGTTGGGGCTTCCTCTGTGAATCCCTGAAATAGGAGACTAGGAGAATTCTCCAGTACATGCTTCTCCTTGCCACCAAGTGGGCAAGCCTGGACTACATGAGTCACAGCAGTAGAATCCTAGACAAGTTACTCTGACATCTAGTTTCTCGTGGGAAAATGAGGGTTAAATAAACAAACGACTCATTGAATTCTGAGGACTAAATGACATAGAAATTGCCCAGCACAGTGCCTTGCATGGGTAGGTGCTCAGTAAACATGAGTGCCCTCCCACACTTCCTGGTTTCTAAGCCCGTGGAGCCAATTCTACCATCACTGCCAGGAATCAGCTCTCGGCAGGAGACTCGCCACGCCCACCTGCTCCTCCCTCAGCCCATGCCTGGGCTGACAGGAGGAGCGAAGTGAGAAAAGCTCCTGGCACACCTCGGGCGCTGGTCCTCCCTCTCCCACAGCATCCAGCTCTGTCTGCCCCAAACCCTTAGCACTGTGGGTGCCCCACAAGATGCCACCCCAGCCTGTCCCACTCCTAAGAAGCACACTTGAATCAAACTGCCAGATGAATTCGCTGGCTCCTTTTCTTTATTACTTAGCAACACAGAGTTTGGTGTCACATCACTGTTTAAGAATTTTCCTAAATACCGCTGGGGAGATAGTTCAGTGGTTAAGAGCACTGGCTGCTTGTCCAGAGGACCCAGCTTCAATTCCCCGCACCCACATGGCAGCTCACAACTGTCTGTAACTCCAGTTCCAGGGGAACCAACTCCCTCATACAGACAAAACACCAATGTACATAAATTAAAGGAAAAAAATTTTTTTTCCTAAATACCAAGTTTACATTTTACTTGTCATTTGCTGAGTTTGAAATTATACAAACAGACAATCTTATGAGGTTTCTCCTTTAAGATCCCAAAGCAGGTCATGAGGTCAACAGAAAGACAAACATCACTGTGCCTATTTTTGCTAGACGACTAAATCTCCCTAAGTTGACTCCAAGTCAAGCTTAACACTGATCTGTTGATTTCTGAAGACAATGATGAGGATACCCTGCACGCCAGGGTTTACAAGTTTATGCTGTGTTGTTCCAATCAACAGAACTTTCCTGATGTTCTCATAAACACCTCTCATGGTCTGTCTTCCCAGCCTGGCTGCAGACAAGCTGGTAGTTACTTTATTGCTTCCTCTCAGCAGATCAGATGGAACCTGCAGTCAGATAAACCCTGAGCATCCGCTTGAGAACTCACTCTCCTCAGTGAAAAAGGATATTTGTCTCCCTGGCTTCTCCCCAGACCTTCGGTGAAGGGGGTGGAAGCGGTTCCGGGCGGGCCTCTCCACCAGCCCATGGTGGCGGGTTCCACGAACATTATCAGCTTGATGAAATGATGGCTGCAGAGAGAAAGGAAGAACATTTGGCCTCTGATCATGAAATTGCCACTCACCCTCAAGAGCGACTGGTAACAGATGAAAAGTTCGAGTTTCTAATTTTACTAATTTGTTGCTGCTTTGTGTCAAGTAAATAAAATGTCACATGTGGCTCTGTTTCTATATAATTATGGAGTATATCAAAAATAGTATTTAACATATTAATATGGGAGCAGACATAAAAATTGTCACAGTTAGGAAATGGAGAACTGGGGGACTATAGCATCAAGCTGTTTCAGTCTCTTCTTGCCCAGTGAGAGCTAAAATTCTATTTTAAAATGTAGTTACTGAGCCAGAAAGATGGCTCAGTGGGGAAAGGTGCCTGCCTCGAAAGCTAGAGCCTGAGTTCACCCCCAAACCCCACAGAGATGAGAGGAAGAACCATCTCTACCAAGTTGTCTTGATCTCTACATAAGTGCCATGGAATGTACACCCATATGCATATGCACGCACGAGTATGTGTGCACTCAGGCTCACAAGCACACGCATGTGCACACACACATGTTTAAAAACATAATAATGAGCTGGGTGGCATATACCCATAACCCCAGAATTTGAGGGGGCAGAGACAGAAGAATCACAAATTCAAGGCCAACCAAAGCCACAGAGTAAAACCCTGTCTCAAACAAACAAACAAAATTAAACTCTGCTGCCCTAAAGTACTTTATTTTTCCTTTGCTTACTTGTGTATAACTTTTACAACCTGATACCCGGAGAGTGAATATATTTTTGAGATCTAGTTCTGTACTTAACATTATTTCATAACATAAAATGTTTCTATTTACTTATTTAGAAATCACATAGTACTTAATTTCTAATGCTCATAAATCCAAGAAATATAAATCATAGTTCAAAATCTGTATGATCTGGAGACACCTTAATATCTTCCACTTGCTAACAAGTTACTCTGGCTTCCTTACCTATGAGATAGGGATGATAATTTCCATTTAGGCTTATTAAAAAGAACATAAAATGAGGATGGGCATTGGTAGCACCCGCCTTTAATTCCAGCACTTGGAGGCAGAGGCAGGCAGATCTCTGTAAGTTTGAGGACAGCCTGGTCTACAAAGCGAGTCCAGGACAGCCAGGGCTTTGGAAAAACAAAGAAAAAGGGAGGGAGCAGTAAGATGACTCAAAGTGGTTTAGGTACTTGCTACCATGCCTGACAGACAGTCTGAGTTGGATCCTTCCAGGACCAACACGGCGGAGAGAGAAAAACAACTCATAAATTGTCCTCTAATCTCCACACATAAATAAGCAAGTCAGTAAGTAAATGTAATAAAAAGATAAAAATAAAGTGAAATGAAGTCCCTTATGTGTGGACTGCCCTGTTCCAGATATATCTGAGCATTAGAGGGGTCTATGTGTGTGTGATAGGGCATGCTGGGAAACATTATATTAAAGGTCACCCTACAGATCCTTCTCATGATTAGTGTCTTCTCCAGCATGCAGCTTCCCTATACCTCCCTCAACAGACCTAGACCTCAGTGAAGCACCACCTGTTGCTCATGCTACCCCAAGTGGACCCCGTGACTGGAGTGGTCAATGACTTAGGAGCAAACAGATGAGTATCTTGTCCAAACAAATGCTCATACCCTTTTCTTTCTGCTGTATGAATGCTAGGTCCCAAATACAGCACGTTCCTTCTGCCTGGACTACAGAAAAACATAGGAAGAGAGCTTCAGTGGGTGCCCTGAAGTTACGAACTGTAATCCAAGTGAAAAGTGGATGTCTGCTGAGAGCCCCAGAATTTGGATGGGCTGTTCCTGTAGCAACCCTTCTGCTGTGATACTGAAGGCAGGGCAGGCTGCACTGACGAGAGCAGGGGGAAAACCAGGAGGCATAAAGCCAGAAGACTGCACAAATTGCTGCCTATATACTCTGAAGAGGCCTCAGCTCAGCTCTGAGGAATACGGTGATGATGCAGAACCTGAGACTCAGGGGACCTCAGTGCTCATTTTAAAAGCTCTCTGGAGCACAGTGCGGACCACTTGAGGCAGAGGAGCATACTGCCAGCACAGCATGGGCAACAGAGGAGGGAAAGTCATCTGAAAAAATTTCTAACAATTCCAAGAACTCATTGTGGGAGAAACCCGAATTCAGTTGCATTTTCAAGACTTTTTGTTTGTTTGGGATAACTTAGTTTTATTCTGGAACAATAATGGGAGGGCTGGCCAAGTAACCTCCCCAGGGTCTGGAGCCAGTGCTGGTCAAGTGGGTCCCTGAGCACCAGAGAGCAGAGGGAGGGAGCACACAGTGTTGTTAGTGGCAACCTAAAACAACACCAATAGCCTGAAAGTGCAAGTTAACACCAGGCGGCCAACAAAGGGCCTTAGCAGTCAAGGGCTGGCCTATTGGTTCCATCTTACAGGATGACCTGATCATCATAGAGGGTGAGCAGCAGAGATGGCTGGGTAGCAACCCAAGGTACAAGGGAGATTCTGGGCCTAAGTCACCAGTCTGCAGGAGGGCAACCTGAGTGTAGAACCTGCTCCAAAAACCAAGATTCCATGGAGCTCCAGAGGGAGGGATTGGGCTGAGGCTAACACTCAGGTGGGCAAGGAGATGGCTAAGGCCACATCTTCCTTTGTTTCTGTGGGTGAGCTATACGATATTCAAAGCAGTTCAAACTACAGTGGGAAATGTATGGCCACATGCAGAGAACCTTCCTCTCAGGCTCTCCTCATCTTGTACGATTGTAAACTCCCACATTTATCTGAAAAACGTATCTACAAGGGCAGCAAATTGTTCCGGCCTCGCAGGTACTAAGTGGCTGACAAGGCAGGGGAGCCATAGCTAACACAGACAGCAGAGCCTTTCTGACATGACTCTTGTGAAACTGCAGTATTGTTCATTTGTTTACACCCCCTGCCCACCCCATGCCTTCAGTACTAGGCAAGCACTGTACCACTGAGTTACATTCCCAGCCCTGGTTGTTCCCCCCCACCCCCAGTGGTTGTCATTTTTTAACTTTCCAATAGGGTCTTGCTAAATTGTTGGTCTGGCTGGCTTTTGAACTTGTGATACTCTTGCCTCAGCTTCCTCAGTAGCCCAAATTACAGGCTTACAACACTAGGTCTCTGCAAGTTGTGGATTTCAATGAAGAAATCTAGAGCTAATAGCACACTGTATTATACTCTTAGGGCACTCCTCCAAGAGACCTAGATCTTGGGTAGTAATCGATCTCTCCTACACCTATGTGTAGATATTCATATTTGCATAGATTAAAGGAAAGGAAGAAACAATTTGCTACAGTGCAAGGTGTTCAACAATTTGCTGTTTTGTTGTTTTTAAGCAGATTCTGATATAGCCAAGGCAGCCCTCCTATTCAGCTGGATGACCTTGAACTCCTGAACCTCTTGCCTTTGCCTTACAAGTGCTAGACTACAGTTGTGCACACCCACAGTACTAGGCAAGCACTCTGCCACTGAGCTGCATTCCCGGTGCTGGCTAGGGCTCTTTGTGTGTGTGGGTGACAGCACATGGGTGCCCACATCATATGACCTCTGAAAGCTACAGCTGCTGTAGCTGGTCTCCTTATCCTCTACTAGATGCTAGTCTAGTCTAGTGAGCAGAGGAATACCTGTACTGTAGCTACTACTGTTCATCACTATGACACATTTCCATTACTCTCTCAGGGGATTTACAACATTGCTGGCCTATCATTACATCTGTGGTTAATTAGAATCCCACGTCTTTCTTACTTCACTGGCAAACATATGGGGATTCCTAGTAAGTCCAGTTTTGGTCATTCAATGAGCTGAAGTCTTAGAGTCAGAGACAGTATGTTAATCTAAGGTTTTAGTAATATTATTAGAGGTCTGTATGGGGTTGGCAAGATGGCTCAGGGGTTAAGAGCACTGGATGTTCTTCCAGAGGACCTGGGTTCAGTTCCCAGCACCCACAACGCTACTGACAGAGAATTCATGCCCTCTTCTGGCCTTGGAGGGTACTGCACACATGCACTACAAAACCAAAACATCCATACACATAAAACAAAATAAACAAATCTTTTTAAAAAAATAAACTGGGTACAGAGACATACACTTTTAATCCCAGCGCTTGGGACGCAGAGGCAGGTGGATCTCTGTTGAGTTCAAGGCCAGCTTGGTCTACAGAGTGAGTTCCAGGACAGCCAGGGATATATAAAAAGAATCTGTTTCAAAAATCATAATTAATAATAATAATAATGATAAATAGAAAATTTTAAAAGTGCACATATGCAAGTGTATGATTTATTTATAATCAACCTTTATTTATAATCAACCAAGACATACTTTATCTCTGCAGCAAAACAGAAAATCTATTCTAGTTTAAAGTTATACTTCTATACAAAGTAATTATTTGTTTTTTTGTTCTTGTTTTTTTCAAGACAGGGTTTCTTTGTGTAATAGCTCTTGCTGTCCTGGAACTCACTTTGCAGATTAGGCTGGCCTCAAACTCACAGGGATCTGCCTGTCTCTGCCTCCCCAGTACCAGAATTAAAATGTATGTACCACTTCCATCTGGCCATGCAGTTATTAAAAGCAGAAGAATATGGGCTTCTAAGCACTAATCTTTTTGTGGGGGTTGAGACAGGGTTTCTCTGTGTAGTCCTGACTGCCCTGGAACTCACTCTGTAGACCAGGCTGGCCTCAAACTCATAGATCACCTGTCTCTGCCTCTCGAGTGCTGGGATTAAGGGTGTTCACCAATACTGCCCAGTACTAATCAATGACATTCTTGTATTAAGGAGTTCTATTAACATTTTAAAAATAAACTGTTCCTGCCTAGCATGCATGAAACCCTGAGTTTGATCTTCAACAATACCAAGGCAGACAGACACATACACACACTGCATGGGCACACATCCAGATGTTTATATGTATATTAACCCAGCACTGGTAGTATGACCTGGAACTCTGGCTATTCCAGAGGTTGAGGCAGGAGAACTGTTTCAGCCCAGAAGTTTAAGGACAGCTGTT